GCTGTGTATTGGAAGTCATCAAGTAAGTTGGAACAAGCTTCGAACCTGGATTGAACTAACGATTTATCAGGGAGGGTCGTGCCGCTTTGACAACAAGTTTCAGTTGCTTCAAGTACATGAGTCTGTACTCGGCGATCCAGTTCACATCAGTCACGTTTCTTTATGCCCGGGCGTCTAACTTGGGAGACTTCCAGTTCCTCTTTATCGACCTTGCTCTTATTCTCCCTATTGCCATCTTCATGGGTTGGGCAGGGCCAGCGCCTAGACTCTGCCGCAAGCGTCCCACCGCGGATTTGGTGTCACGCAAGGTCCTCACGCCTCTCTTAGGATTTATGCTTATCTGTATTGCTTTCCAGGCTGTGGCGTATGTCACTGTCAAGGAGCAGTCTTGGTACATCCCTCCAGTGGTGCACAAGGACGAGCCTAGCATTGAGAACTCCCAAAACACTGCTCTCTTCCTGTTCTCCTGCTTCGAATACATCTTGTCAGGTATCATCATGAATGCAGGACGCCCGTTCCGACAGAGAACCACACAGAACTGTAAGTTATCACCGTTGTCCGAGTTAATTAGCAAGGCTGACATTATTATAGGGCCTTTTGCGACGACTATCTTCATTGCGCTCTTGATAACTGTTTACATGATTTTGACGCCTGCTAAGTGGGTTACGGATCTGATGCAGTTGACAGAGATGAGCTGGGACTATGAGCTGTTCCTGATTGCGCTGGGCGCTGCCTATTTTGCTGTTGCTTGGGCATTTGAGCACTTCCTTGCACTGAAGCTGGCTCGACTTATTGGGTCAATCCAGCAGTCAGTGACAGGAAAGGGCAAGAAGCGGAAGGAGTACAAGGTGATTGCCGAGGCATCTCGGATCTAAAATGTCGAAAACAACGTATGTTGCATAGCTGTAAATGAAGGATTGTTTGTGAATACATCAATGGGGATTGCTAGAATAGAATGGTTATTGCCGCCAGGTACCATGAGCTTTTCCAGGAAGGATTAAAAGCATAATGAGTGTTGGATAGTACGCCGATGCCCGAGATTGAATTAGAAATACTTTTTCCTGCGCCCCTATTAAACTAAGTGATGAATACTATTAAAGAGGAATCACGGTATGTCTCATCGCATAATTATCCGAATTTCATGGTGAAAACCAAAAGTCTGAGATCTCCAAACCGTATGTAAGCCATTTTGATTCTTGTACCGTCATCTATATGGCATTTCTGCCACTACTGCAGACTTTTTGGTCCCTATAACGCATAGCAAGCTGCAGAAAAGGGTCATGCCGAGCCATGATCATGAGAAATAAGTTCAAGTGCATATAGGCATTGATCGCGGATGAGTTACAACCCCCTGCATCGCACAACGGGCGCCATCGAAGTGTGAAGTAATTAACGGTCGATACCAATGCCCGATCATACCCAGAAATCATGAAGATCACAATAGTAACCGCAATTGGAGATTCGTATCAATTCTAGAGCCTCTTTTGCTCTATATACACCGCATCTAATCCACGTATCCTTTGATTTCGGCGACCGATGCCTTCAGTGTTGTAACTATTGCGGAAAAAGAAGTAATCGTTGATGGTATTTGTTTAGTGGTCCCAAGGGTGCTTGAGGCCGAGGAGAACGGCACCTGACGATTGTTAGCTATTGCGCCTCAAGGAACCAATATTTTGCATGATAGCTTATATGCTACATACCATCCTTCTTCGCCCGGTACATGAGCTACATCATAATCCGTTAGCAATTCGTCCATATTGATCATGAGTCTCGCTTCGATGTTTCATATCCGAGCTCAAGATCGCCATCTGCAGGGGCGACTTACGAAGAACCACATGCCAGCGCCTAGAGCTGTCGCGGTGAATCGGTAGATACGGGGGACGTGAGCCACAGGGGGCTTAGGAGGGCCGTTAAAGCTGTGGTGACCGTGACCAGCCATGATGAAGTTGTTGGAAATGTCGCTCGGTGGTTCGGACTGCAGATGGTGGTGACGTTAGCGGATGTTTAACGTGGGCTTGAGATTGATGTCGGCGGTATAGCGGGATTGACGTACGTAGAGACCGAATTGGGAGCCGTGAACGAGGCGACGAGAATGGTGATGAACGGCAATCGTCAGTCTTGATGGAGTCGTGAACCGAGCCAATTCGGCGATTGATTTGCTTAGGTAAGGGTAGCTTATGATTGGGCGAACCCGATATATAGTTCGATGAGCTTTGGTGCATGGATATGTATATAGAGCATTTAGTGCTATAATGAAGTCTTGCGTGCATCATCGGTGGGGCTCCCGTTCCAGTTCGAGTTCGACTCAACTCCGAGGCAGCCCAGACCAGATCTTAGTTAAGATACCACCTGGCATTCATTCACCAAGACTTTGGAAACAACCTAGACTAAGCTGGCCTCTTGTTGTTTTATCCGTAACACCTTTTGCACAATTATCTTCATTCTGTTGGAGAAGGTCCTCCTTTTTTGGTATTATATCAGCGCCCGTGGTTGCTTCGTATTTAGCTCCCGTTCGACAGCTCCCCCACATTCGCCAAGCGATGCTCTTCTGAGCTACCTCTCTCCAGACATTACGAATATCATTCACAGAAACCTACGCCTCAGTGAATAGTGACTGCGCAATAGCTCAAGTGGACGAACACGTTCGCCATGGCGACTCCAAAGTTTAGCTCCAAGTCACCTACGATTCGACGTATACGTACGTGTCACAACTCCGTTTCTTCTATTAGATGCTGTCCATTCTGTGATGAACCTCATAGCTGATCAAGTCTATAGTTCGTGAAGCAGCTGAAATATCTAATTCACCATCCGCCGATTACACAGCCGAGCCTCTCGAGTCCGACCTCTTCGAATGGCACTTTACACTCCGAGGGCCTCCCAACTCGGTTTACAGCAACGGAATCTACCATGGCCGTATAATTCTACCTCCTACTTACCCCCTTCGACCGCCTTCTTTTCGTTTTATGACTCCAAGTGGTCGTTTCGAGGCCAACCGTGAAATTTGCTTGAGTATCAGTGGCCATCATGAGGAGACGTGGCAACCCGCGTGGGGAGTTAGGACAGCTCTGGTAGCGTATGTTTGACCCTTGAGATATCAGTGGTGTGTCGCAAAGGCTGACATGTACGGATAGACTTCGAAGTTTCATGGAAACAGACGCCCGCGGCCAATTAGGCGGTCTCGAGACAACCGATGCTGTGCGCCAGCGTCTTGCTAACGAGTCATCAACATTCAAGTGTTTGGCATGCGGCAAGACAAACAGTGAAATCATACAGGAATGCGAAGAGCGAGCAAAGGAAGCATCGTCCAGCGCTCAAGAAGTTGAAGTGCCCAAAGAGCTGAACATGGGATGGCGGGATGAAATGGGAGCCAAGAAAGAGGGTGAAAACAAAACTGAACAGACAAATGATGATGCCGAGACAGCTCAACTTGCAGAAGGGTTTGTCCAAACTGCGCCGGATGCTGGCCCTGCTGATAACATTCCGGCCCCTCAACCGCAATTTGACAACCAGAACCCCACTCCAACCCGAACAATCCCCCTCCCGGCCCCGGCGGCCCAAGCACCAGCCCATGCACCGGTCCATGCACCGATTGTAGCACAGGCTCAACAAGCACGAAGGGCGTCTGACGATGGTGTTCCATTGTGGTTAGATCGAGCCATTGTTGTGTTGGTTGTGCTTCTAGTGGCCCTCGTGCTCAAGATTATCTTTGCTGTGTGAACATCCTATGCGTAGGCACTGAGCGTTTGCGTTTGCGTCCGGATTGGCGTACGGTGTATTTATCGGGTTTCAGTAAACTTAGGGAGCGAATTAGATATCCAGTCGAATTGAGCATCGCATCCTGCATGAAATCAGCCAATGGCAAATATAATTTTTGACTCAATCCACCACCAGGAAAAATTTGTACGGCGAATTTAACCTGATATTGGATTACCTGCATTTGTTAATGGTATATAACCCAATGATAGTCTTGTCGTGTGCCTCAGTGGCTGACATTCAACGACGGGGAAAGCTCGCTGTGAAGTACCCCGAGCACTACATAAGGGACGGCAACGAACTTATTGCTCTTGTTATTTTATTAGTATTATGCATTATTAAATCGAATTATGACATATGGCAGAAGAAAGAGGGGCCTGGACGCTAGAAGTGACTGTCAACCTGTGACTACCGTCAGTGACTGGCAGCTGGCGGCGACTCCGTAAATGCATATGCAGTCACTGGATTAATGCACCTCGGATGAAATTTAAAATTATAATTTTTCTTCTTTTAATTCTCTTCTTACTCTTCAAAACCATCTTTTACTTTATCTATGTATATATCTATATCCATGTGAGAATGTCTACTATGTGTCTATCGATCGTGGAGACAAACTGTAAAGCCCTACTGAGTAGTGGTAAATGTCATGCGTGCTAATAATGTGATTTTTAAGTATTCAAAAGACCCTTCAAGACCAAAAGGAAAGGATACGTGCACGAAGACGTTTGTGTCCGAGGAAGAGGCGTCAAGACATCGAATATTAGAACACCGGTCAGATCCCGTCCATATGAGACAGGACGGGAAACTCCTTTGTCTCTATTCAAAGGATTTCGGAGAATCCGGATGCAAGGAAACGTTTGATACATTAAACGATGTCTTGACACATTTGAGTTCTGTGCACGTCGAAGAGAAAGACGCGATGGAGTGCCCGATATCAGGGGATTGTATAACCAACTGCCGTGCAAACGGAAGTCTGAAGAACCACGTCGAACACAACCACCGTGTGAACGCGCATCAATGCAACGATGTTGGCTTAGTATTAAAATCGAGAGGCAGTTTAATACATCACGTCAAGGTTGAACACGAAGAGACTGATTATCGCTATCCATGCCCAGGGGAAGGGTGTGATAGTAAATACAACAACCCACAAGACCTCAAGTATCACATCGACCCGGGTCATAAAAACATCAAGTACAAATGGCCTCAATGTGCTGACACGTTTACGTCACTAAGAGGTGTTGAACAGCATGTTAAACGCATACGTGAGGGCGAAAAACTACTATGCCGATAAGCACGATGACAAGCAGCTAGACTGTCAATTCTGTGGGCAGCATCTCAGCAGACCTCAGATTCAGCGGATACACGAAAAGTCACATACGCATCAAGTTTTGTGCCCAAGACTATGGTGTACTCAGCGATTTGAAACGTGGGATGAGGCACTGGAGCATGGCCTCGGCGAAGAGCACGATTTCACGGAAACTCTGCTCTACACATGCCCTCTGGAAAACTGCAGAATCACAGTCACAAAACGACCAATGACAAGGCATGCCATGAAAGCCCATTGGAACACCCATGTAGCCTATGGACATGTGGCCCCAGATATAGAGCTTCAGGAGGTTCTCGCCGAGCCGTTGCCGTTTAAACCATTTCCTCTGCTAACACGAATTCACGAGTACTGTTCAGAAATAGTCATGGGACAGAATGCCACATCAAATCGACCCATGGATGCACCCACAGAGGGTCTTCACTCTCCTGCTGAAGATGAGGCTGATGATGATGGTCTTGAGGAAGAGGACGTGGCAAACCTTGAAGAGGACAGCGGTACAAGCTACATGCAAGATTACGATAACCTGTTCTCCGAGGAACACCACTCGCTTATTCTAAGGGAACGAAAGCTATTGGGGTACGTGATAAAGCCCAGATATTCCTCGAGGCTTCTTGCTAACTGTTGATACTACAGAGATTGGAGGCATCGGGGAATGCCTGCCCCCTCCAAGACACTACATCCCACTCATTTAATTCTTCCGCCTGATAGTCGGCCAATTCGAATCGGAAAAGAGATGAGATGAGGTTGTTCTGACCAGCGAGCGGGTAGCAGAAATGTTGGCATCTGAGCTTTAGAGGAGAGAAATAAATAGCCTAAGAGTCTGGTCTAAATAAATAACCTAAGCGTCTTGCCTAAATAAGAAGCCTAAAGTCTGTTCTAATATAAACTGATTTACAACTTTCGTCTCTTGTGCTTCCGGCGGCCAACGCTTCTATCTAATACCCAGACTGATCATCTTGTTTTCTGTTTTTCTGTCATGTTATAACCCTGACTCAGAGGAAATCAATCTATCGGCCTTTCCCATCAACCTTGTCTCTCACACACCACATCAAGTTGCAAGCCACCCAAGCCATTTGAGGTGCAGAGCAGCGTTGACAGGGTCCTATCCACTATCCACTTCTACGTCTTGGCACCAATGCATCTCCTCGGTGCTTCCAAGAGAGTTAGATATGAGGAGTTAAGCAACGATAACGCGCTGACCGGCTGTCTTGTCTTCTCCGCTTTCCCTCGGCGGACATCTTTATACTTATCGAGAGTTAGTTGAACTTATCAGATGCTAAGACAGATGGCGGGGTCAAAGTTAGTGTTTATGTTTAAGCATAAATTGAAGCATCATCGCCACATTGACATGACATGACACTGATCAATTGACTCGTACAAAGACTATTGCTTCAATATGTACTCCAAGGCTCTCGCTGCCATTCCATGGAGCTTGCTCATCAGCAATGCTGCCAGTGAAGTCATACATGGTGCGGTAGTTTTCACACGCCATGGTGATCGTATGTTCGTCAATTCTGATTCGACTATAACCTCACTTACACCACAACAGGAACTACCAAATGGTACGGCGCCCAATCTCTCACCAGTCTTGGTGCAGAGCAGAACTACCAGGTCGGAAGCGACTACCGTGACCGTTATCTCTTGTCTGATTCGGAACATCGCATCTTGGGTATCTCCGAGACTGAATACAAGCCCTCTCAGATCTTCGCCAGTGCTCCTGATCAGGGGATACTCATGAACACAGCCACGGCATTCCTTCAAGGCTTCTATCCTCCTCTTGCTGATGTCGACCCGGAAATTGCATCCCAAACCCTAAATAACGGCTCAGAAAGTCAGGCACCTCTTGATGGCTATCAATACGTCCGACTTCGCACCATCAACGACAACTCGCCCGATACTATCTGGATTAAGGGAGATGATGCCTGTCCTAAGTATGTAACTGCCTCAAAGGCCTTCATGGACAGCGATTTATTCGTCCAGCGCGAACAAGACACAAGGCAGTTTTACGAGCAGTTCTACGATATCCTCTCCGATGGCGTGTACAACCTCAAGCCAGAGAACATGACATACAAAAACGCCTACAACATCTTTGATCTTGTCAACGTTGCCCGCATTCACAACAGTACTTCACCAGCACGAAATGTGTCAGACGAGGATCTCCTGCAGCTTCGTTCGCTTGCCGACTCTGCGGAACTCGGCCAGAACTGGAATGAGTCCGATTCTGCTCGGGCTATTGGTGCGCAGACGCTTTCTGGTGCTATTCTTGCTCAGTTGAACCAGACTGTGAGCTCCAAGGGGAGCCTCAAGTTTTCTCTATTTTCTGGTAGTTATGATACGTTCCTCGCCTTCTTTGGCCTCGCAGATCTTCTCGATGAGTCTCCTGATTTCCATGGTCTACCAGACTACGCATCCACCATGGCATTTGAGCTCTTCACCAATGACAACACGGACGAGTTCCCTTCAAACCCAGAGACGGACCTCCGTGTGCGCTGGCTTTTCCGTAACAGCACTTTCGGCGAGCTGGAGACATTTCCTCTCTTTGGGACTGGCGAGAACTCTCTGCCTTGGTCGAAATTCGTGACCGAGATTGAGAAGCGTGCTATCACGGATGTGGGAGACTGGTGCTCCCAGTGCGGATCTGATGAAGACTTTTGCGCTGCTTACGAGGACAGTACTAATGGTAAGAATGGTGAGAATGAGAATGAGAGTGACGGCGACGATGACAGGGGCGGTATGTCGAATGCTGTTGCAGGTGTCATCGGTGCTATGGTGACTCTAGGTGTTGTTGCCATCGTGGGAGCTGCTGCGTTTGTTCTCATCAAGAGAAGCAAAGTAACTGGCCACGTTGACGAGAAAGGCAGTGTTCGCAGTAGCAGCACTGATGAGAATGTGGCGAAGGTCTAGGCTTGCACTGTTGTAGGGCAGGATACACTTGTAGATAGGTAGTTGTAAGAACGTAGTTTCCTTTTCCTATATAAAAGAGGTTAGTTGTCATTATTATTCTAGCCACTTATTATAACCTATACCAGTATTATCAGGTATGTCAAGATTCTCTGGTTGAATTGCGCTTCGCTCCATGACTGTATATATAAAGAACCCTACCTCGGAACTGGGAACCTATAGATGGGCTCAGATTATCCACAAGACCAAAAGAGACACTTCCTTAATTTATGATACTAATATCCTAAGTTGAGACTCAAGTAGGTGGCCTACGAGGGGGGAATGGGCATTGTGTATTTCTAGGTAGTGGAAACACCAAAAAAAAACATACAACAGCGGGGATTCGCTGGTCGTCACCGACCCAACTACTAATCCGCCCCTTACCAGCTTGACTATGGGAGAGCGGACGGGATCCCGTATTTTCTGGTAGGTATGGTCGTATGTGAAAGAGGGCAGTAATAAAGTAGCCTATATAGATGATACCTGCTACCTTGAGATACAGAGTAAAGTCGCACACTGGGCAGTGGTTACCTGTGCCAACATGTTAGACGTCATTATACGGTTGCCAGACGTAAAATATTCTTAGTCACGTAGTTCACTTGGAGAATGCTTTTGTTACACTTACAGAGAAGCACTCCTGTAGACGAGGGTTGCAAGAACTCGGTTTCCTTATCTCAGATAATAGGGGTTAGTTGTTATTATTATTCTGGTCACTTGTTGTAACCTGCTAATAGATTTATCTCTTCTAATACCGTACTTACCTAAACGAGCCATCTTGTTACACGTACTCGAGTATCCATATTTTCATAAGGTGGGAAACTTCCGCTTTTGAATTGAGATCCTTGTTCAAAGTTATCCTTGTTACTCCCGTGTTTAACTCTGACCTGACTTATTCAAATTCGATATGTATAACTTTTTTAATCTATCACACATTGTAAAAACTTAGTTTTACTACTCGAATAGTGTTTTTCGGGGACAAAGGGGGTATTTAGGAATACATGGTAGTGCTGAGATAGATGGAATTACTGGTAAATGACCGACCAACCAGTGTTCTACATGCCTATAAGACAATAAGTAAGTACCTTTAACCCTACCTAAGATACACTTCCATAGGATAGTAGAACTTGCAATATCTTGTATTTTATGACAGGGATAACTGTATTGTTTGAAAGGGCTGCATCGTTAGACTGTAGTTGGTCAACGGTACAGTGCCAGTCTACATGTTCATATCCTATTACTCAAACACATCACACTTTCTTCTGTTCGTTATGAGCTTCTGTCGTCGCCACAGCCTTGTATTTCCTCATTCATTCAGAGGAGGATGATAATGATTGGGAGCTGCCGTATTTTACCCCTTGCTTATATTAGATCGCCTCCCGACATAAAGAATGTATGGGGGCTATGTTCTTCAGAGCAACCCAAAAAGCTTGTAACGTGAGTCAGGGACACAATCATGATGTGAGTTATCTCTGATTAATAGGATAGAAATCTCTAAACCTACAGTTTATAAACTATATTTTGATTAAACGAACTGGTAGCGAGCTCCCGCCTAGTCTGGCAACTCCAGATCGTGCCACACTAATGTCCATCCAGACATCAGAACCCCTGTACGTCCTAATCCATACTCTCATCATAGCCTGTGAGCTTAAACTGTCGCCCCCATTGCCAAGGGACAGCCAGCCACCACCATTCCCCTACCATGAGTCCCAGACCTTCTTCCGAGTACTTGAGTACGCCTGTTTTTACGCCCCAGTCCATGATGAGCTTAGCCTCGAACTCTTCAAGAACTGGTTTCAGGGCATTGCATACACCTTCGATCGTCAAAAGACCTCTGTTCGCATACACAAAGCAGAAAGCACCCAGCACATCCATCCACCGTTCCGCTTCCCGGCGTCCAAAGAAGTCAACCCATTGTGGAAGCACGCTATTTTTGTCTTTGCCTGCGGCTGGAGGTCCTTCGAAGACGCTCTTACGCAGCACATCGATCTGTTCGTCATACTTGTACAAGTCCGTGGGGACCGCTTCAAGATCATGGGAATAGAGTGATTTCTTCAGCTTGCGCATCTCGTACTGGCCAGGCTTAAAACCCAAGGGAATGTGAGGCACGTTGACTGGAACCAGTCTAATCCTTTCACTCGCATTGAGATTTATCAACGCCATTACCGACCCGTCATTGAGTGTGAAAGGGATTCGATAGGCCTCACCACGGCGGAAAGTGGCATCCAGCTGCGTTTTGAAATCAGCAGCGTCCTTGTATTTGGTCCGTTGCGCAAGCTTCGAAAGCACATGTCCAAATTGCTCGTTGAGTCTGAAAGGTCTCCCAGAAAGCGGCGGCCGTTTGCTTTTACAGATGATGCGCTGCTGTGTCAGAGCATCGATGGCCTCCTTCAGTAATAAGTTGATCTTGTCCTGGTCACCACCTGCCAAGGTAGAGAACTTCTGCTTGATCTGCTCAACCGTGTAACGGCTCTCATCTGTGCAGCACAAGGATCGTACCCAAGACCTGGCAATGTCATTTTCAGTGATTTCGATGTGCTCAACACTGGGTCCACTGAGCATCTTTTCGACAACAACAACAGATGGAGTAGCGACGGCCTCAAAGCGAGCGAAAACAGATGTCTGAGGGTTGTAGAATTTCTCTCGGGGGTCTTCTTCATCATGGGGAGTGACGTCCTGAAAGGTAAAGTCATTTTCCAGGGCACCCCTCGTTACTGGAAGATCAATGCCTCTTCGTCGCGGCAGCTCGAGTGTCCAGTCAATCAAACTGTACCAGTCATAGTCCATAGGGTCCTCAAAATCGATTTCCGGCAGCTCGTTCTTAGAATAAGCAATTATGAATCGATCCTGGAAATCCTTGGTAAGCTTCCTGATATATGCACCCTGATCTCTGCGAGCATCAACCCAGAATCGGCGCATGTCTTTGATAGAAAGATCGGGAAAAAGCTTGAGCAAGAGACCCCAATCAATGGATTTGTCGGCTCCGCCTAGCAACACGCGTACGGCAACCAATGCAGCAAGGAGACGCTCTGCCTCCTCCCCACGGATCAAAGGCGTGGGATCGACTTGACTTGGTGGTTGGTCTGTATTATCGGGAAGGGGCATTAAAGGTCGTGTGACGAGGCGCACACGTTTAACTCTCGGTTGCTGTGGCGTTTGTCGAGCGGATGCTCGCAGTCGGCTACCGGAACCTCGAGGTCGACCACCTCGGCCTCTACGGTTAGCTCGAGAGATTCTGTATCCTGGTTTTTGTAAAAACGCGGGGAAACTTGGCCATTCGAAACTGTCGTCTTCCTCTTCCTCTTCCTCATCAGAGGCGTCCACGAGCAAAGCACGGTCCGGAACGTTTTCGGTGAATGACTTCGGCGTAAGCTGCCATTCTGAAGGCCAGGAAATTGTAGGGGTTTCGATAGTTTCGTCGCCGGCCTCACTAGAGAATGAGACAAAAATGTTATAAGGGCCTGCCGCTCCAGGTGGTGCGTGAATGAAAGAATCTGACCATGCACGCTCAAGGTCAGTACAGATATATGCCCGCGCCACAAAAGACTGATACTGGCTGAGTCTGCCGTGACGTTGGAGGCTCTGGCGATTGAGCGAGTGTGCTTTCCGGTCAATCATTTCTATCATTGACGACCAAGCGAACCAGTTGCTATCGGGCATCCATCCCTTCAAGGTGTAGCTGGCACCCTGCATCTCAAAATCCTGAGGGGCAATATACGGCCAAATACCATCATAGCCAGATACTATAATCGGTTTATCAAAAACAATCTCGCCAGATGGATGAGCTGAGAACCCTTGTTGCCAGGCAGTACCGAACCTGTTGCTGAAGTAATGTTTTGATCCCTCAACATCATTTTCATCCAGGAATGTGTTAGGGTCAAGAAACTGAAGGGCCTCAGGAGCGCCTTGGGAGGATTCAAAGTGTTCATAACGCATTGGCTCTCCCATTTCGTTTTGGTATGCCCTCGATTTCGAAGAGCGCCCTTCTGGAAACGTACTCTTGCGTTTTCGGCCTCGTTTTTGGGGCGGTGGGAAATCATCACCGTCGTCGTCATACTCGTCCTGGGCGGCCCGCTTCTGAGCAGCTCGTGCAACATAGACAGGGGCATCGAGCATCTCAACCTCTTCTGGGAGATCTCGACGGCCACGCTTTAGCAAGTCGCTGTCCACTTGAGCATCAAATGGAGGCGGAAGATATGGATCTGGGTGGGCATCTTTGATCTTTAGCACTACCTCATCAGCTTCTGGGGAAAATGGATCAATCCCAGGTCGGACGATGATATGACACTTCTCGGTCACACCCTTTCTGCTGCGAAAAGTGAGCCAATGCTCAGCTGCGCACTTGTTCTTCAACAATTCTCGGAGAGCAGCCTGATATGTGCGGATTTGCGGCGCTACTTCCGAGTAGGATTCTGTCCATCGAAGAGTAATGGCCGTCCATAAGGATTTGCCACCCGGGAAGACACCTTGTTGCTCCTCCAGAATACCTTGAACGATCTGGGATATACGGCTGTTCATGACAGCCTTGGAGAGCGGGGTGCCAACAGTTGTTGGTGTTTTAGCCTTAGTCACAGAGCCGGATTTGCTGGGTGTTTCATTAATCCCAGGATGCAAAGACTTGAGTTGTTCTGGGTGAGAAGTTGTGGCTAGCTGAGGTCCATTTCTTTCAGATTTGGGGCCAGATGTTTTTTGGGAACCTCCAGGCAAATTGAACCGATTCAAAGACCCTAAAATCGGTCGTAGTTGGCTATTTTCGCCTTGAACAAGGGCCCCATTGGTTCCGTGCAAAAGCGAAGATCGCCTCGGCGAGTCGAACATGGTAACTGGAGGTCGATGAAGTTCTGTGTTCGCGTGCACTTTAAAGCTGACTGTTGGTCTTGAGGACCACGTTGGGCGAGCAGCAACAGGGCCGCGCAACGTTGATATTCGTTTCGGTGTTGGTCCATCCTCACGTACAAGGCTGGATTCTTTGTCTTGCTGATTCTTTTCCAGGTGCTTGTCCGAGCCTTTCTCTTGATCATTGTCTTCTTCGTTGAGTAGTTCTGTGTTGTCCTCTGCCGTAGCTTCTTCTTCTACTTCGCCTTGTGGTTTGTCCGCGATGGGTGTTGCGTTAACCTGTTCCTCTACTTCAATTTCGGAAGCAGCTCTCTTCCTCCCACGCCGAGCTGGCGTTACGATAGGCTCTTCAAATGATGGATTGCACGCCGTCCGGGATTTGGTAAGATGATATAGCAGCCCGTTATCATTCTTCCATGCCTTCCCACATTTTTCACATACCCAGGATTTTGAAGGAGTCGGGTTTCCATCGGGTTGCTCTTCGTGTCTCTTTTTTCTCACTTCACCCTTCTTTGGACGGCCGCGCTTCCTCCCACTTACTAGCTGCTCGTTAGAGCAATCCTCTTTCGGCTCACTGCTGATGCTTTCCTGCGTTTGCGACTCCTCATTTTCGGCAGTGGTTTCTGTGACTCCTGTTTCGGGTTTCTTAGCTGAGGACCTTGTCGACCTAGTTCGATTCGGCCGCATCGGGGTTGTCAGAGCTGCCTGTGGTGTTTCTGGGGGTTCTTTGAGGACATCTGGGGATACTTTGAGTGTCACCATGAGTCCGTCGAACTTTTCTGGCTCGGGTGCTGCATTCTGCTGTTTTGTGCCGTCATTTTCTGTTTGAGTAGCTTCAACATGTTTTGCAATCTCTTGACGGGGATTTCCTGGTTCTTTAGCGGTTGTTTCTTGTGCCTGTGTTGGGGCAGCTTCTCGAGACGTAACAGCTTCTTGGGGGACAACAATCTCTTGAGGAACAGAGGCTTCCTGAGGCTTGCTAGCCTCTCCAACAAGGTCAGATTGTGTGGAGATTTCTGACGCCTCTTCACGGCGTTTCCGGCATGCCTTTTTCTTTGGAGCAGGCACAGGCTTTTCTTTTTTAGCCTTGGGCTTTTTAGGACGGCCTTTAGTTGTACGGCGGGCCATGCCCATATTGCACAGTTCAGCCAGTGTCGGTGGAGCTTCAGATGACAATACTGTGGGCTGAGCAGGCGGGAAACCATATCTATCAGTAACTGACGACTGATCTGCGGTATCCATCGGTGTCGACAGAGGGTCCGGTAGGTCATTTGGTGCAAAGTACCGATAGGATGCTACTTTTCCAGATCTTGTGTGCTCGCTATAGATCTGAAAGTGAGCTAGATGAGGCGGTTGCAACTCCGGGACAGACAGTGCAGTAGTCATTGAGGAGAGGTGTCGACTGTATGAAGGACCCAGCGTCAAGGCATAGACATCGGGATTCGTAAGCCCAGTATCGCCTAGTTGTTTCGCCATTTCCGCAATTATAACAGGAACCGGTTTGTCCAGAGACCACGGTGGTGCCTTCGATATCTCGGGAACGTTGGAAGCCTGCCCTATGAGCTGTTTGTTTCCGTCAAGACCATCAAGATCTGGGTTTCGAGGGGTCTTGCTTTTTCTCTTGCCTGTTGAGAGGTACAGCGACCAATCTTCGGAATTGAGATCCCTGACATACTTGACACAATCCTTGAACACCTTATCTCCTAGCTTCGCGGCGACGTACTGGATGACACCCCTCTGATTAAGAAAACGGCAGACCTTCGCCAGCACCTTCATCTGCCAGCGCATTCCTAGAACGCCAAGCTTCGACTTCATGTCTTTCATTTGAAGAACTCCCCACTCTTTGACGATAGCCATGATGGTGGTGGCCAATGCGATGTAGTCGATAGACTCGCCAATCCATCGGGTGCGCCATGGAACGGGCTCGAGATCCTCGACGAGTACTTGTCGAGTCAGTGTCATGTCTGGTCGAACTTCGTCTGTGCCTTCACTGTCTTTGGGCAAAGGGGGGGCGAAGAGCTTCAGCCACATCTTGCTTGTTTTAGTTCCGCGAACAAGAGTTGTTCTCTTGACGATGTACCCCTTTTTGAGAAGGGAATCCGTCCTTTTCGGCACAGATCGTTTGTCTTGATCCGTTAGGCGTCCAAGATCACCCTGGAGGATTCCCTGTGTGGTTGTTGAAGCTATGCCCAAAAGTAACATCCACTCGGATTTGGGAACTCGCTTATAATCAACGGCATGGCCAGTGAGGGATTCCCACATCGTATCTTCGGAAGCGCGCACACGAACATTGCTGGTTGATGTCGAGTTTTCTGGCTGCGATCCCGAAGTCTCTGCATCTTGTCCAGGGGCACCACCAGAAGATGAAAGCGCTAAAACTTCATCTAAGGAAAGATGATTGAACTCGCGATCAGCGCCAACAGAAATATCCCGTCTTGCAGCAAGCCAACTCCAGATGATAGCAGCAGTACGGTCTTGTACAGGAGAGTTGCCTTTTGGCAGTGCTTCTGTGTGAGCTGAGGGATGATGAATTGCTTTCAAAACGTCTTGTACGAGACACCCTTAAACCAGTTAGTAGCTTGTTCTCTTACAATAGGAGCTGGTTAACTGCTTCAAACCAAAAAAAGCTTACCTTCTTCTCCATAACATGAGATATGCACCAAAAGGCTCGCGATCAAGCCTTCGAGCTCTGACGCCATTTCTTCAGCGATTCCGTATGGATCATTCTTGAGTGAAAGCGACGCGTTTAAAAAATCTTCACGAAAGTCGTCTGGGGCGAATTGAACCGACGAGCCCCAGCGAAAGTTATGCTAAATATTATTTTTCTCGGTTGCTGTACGAAGCAGGTGAAGTGGGGATGGCGGGGGTAAGCTAAGTGGAGGGAGAAGGAGCCGCATGCACGTCAAAAACAAATGATGACATAATCACGTATAACTGAGCATTAAATATGAAGCTTTTGTGCACTATCACTGGGGTTTTGTTACTTGATGGCTCCCTCACTCTAAAGCTTTGGGTTTCAAAAAGTAGGGCTCAAGAAGCAACCTTATTCTCACACAATTTGGATGGGGTTGTCCTCGAAGTTTGACAGCTTGATTCGTGCTTCGTCAGGAAAGGTAGGGCTCTTAGAGCACAATACAAAAGCAATACCTGCTCAGCAGCCCACTTCTTCTTCGGGGTTTCGTTGCAATACAATTCTTAGAAGTTATGAATTGCTAGTAATGCTCTTCTTCTAATCAACCTCTATCAAACGGCATGCCGGGCCATCGTGGCCTTTATTCGCCATGCAGAAACAAAAGATAAATACCCACACATAAACTGTGACCACTTCATAGTTGGTAGTATGATTCATATGCAATTCTAAATTCCATAAACGTAAACTCGCTCATGCTGGGTATCCTCAATGGCCTGCCCGCAGCAACTTGGCCTGCTCGTGCTCTCGAATCTTCCTGTACGCCTCCAAAACATCCGCCCGGGCCTCTTGCAGCTCTTCTCTCCGCTTCAGACTGCCCGCAGCCTTGGGAATGTCGGCGACATTTGCAGTAGCACCTTTGATCTTGATCTGTTTTGACATGTTCTTGTTAAGCTCGGGTGGTGCTTGTGCCTGGTCGTGCACAGCGATCTTGCCTTCTGCTCTCTTCTTCTTTAACTCTTCCCAAGGATCGTCAAACTTAGCTCCCTTTCGTCGCGCCTTCTTGCCTGTCGCTTCGTTGAGTGTTGCTCGAGCAATTGCTGCAGCGCCTGTAGGATCCTCGTCAAGTTCCTGTCCAATCGCTTCGTCTGCCTCGTCCTCCTTCTGCTCCTGGATCTTTCGCTCCTCCTCTCGCCATTGAGCGTAAAGCTTGTGCATGTTTCTCTCTTTTCGTGTGCGGTAGACTTTGAATCCCTGTTCGTCCTTTCCATCTTTGATTGTCGTCTTTTTAGTGAGGCCCGCAACCGGTAGCGATGCATCTACTCGTTGAGCAAAGGCCCTAAGGTCTTCGCCTGGTCGGATCTTAAGCTCTTCTGATTTCTGTTTTGTCGTCTTTGCGTCTTCGCCATCGTCGAGTCCAGATCTCACTTTCTTGCCCTGTGCGATGGACATGAGTCGTCTAAAGGCTCGTGGAGCGTCGTTCTCTTTGCGCGCCTTCTTACTCTTCTTGACCTTTGCATCTGCAGGAGCGTCCTTGGCTGTTTTTGAATTCTTTCCTGATCCAGGCTTCACTGTCGCATTCTTCTTTCCAACTTGTAGAGATCGTGCTTTTTGAGAAGGAGGGAGGTTGAACCTAAAGAAACAAGTCAGATGTGCATAGAGCAAGAGTGTAGCAAGTCGACTTACTCCGACTCGTCGTCTCCTCTCTTTCTCTTATGCTTGTGAGGCATGATGTATAGTTCAAATACAAGTAGCGAGCGTAGCGCAGCTGTCAATTGAAGGGGAAATAGTAACCCTTGGGCGTCAATATGGATTTTGATGCGATCGTAATATTGCAGACAAACTCGAAGATGGAAACTTTGGGAAGGCTCCAAAAATTCTCTTATCAGGGCTTATCGCAACCATGGCCCCACTATGTTTTTAAGACGGGCCCTTTCCAGGCCTAGCAGACACTGTAGTTCGATACATCCACCGTACTTCATGCGCTACGGCTTTTGAAGCCACTATATTGAGATATCGAAGATGGGTATTTTCTTCGCATAACACCTTCACTGAGCCTTCGCTTGCCATTGTACCTCGTACATGGTTCTTAGAGACTGGATTCACAATTTCCCTATCATTAAATCCTGCTTATTCTTACATTACACGATGAAACGGTTTCTTAGAAAGGACAAGAGTGTGGGGCTCATTCTTATTCATGGTGTACCAAAATAACTTACTCCGGACTTTCCACTCCACAACTCATTGAACGAAACATGAGCCCAACATCTGATGATACATGAGTCAAATCATTTTCCAAGGCCAACCTAGACTTCATTATTATGACTGGAATTCCCATCCGAATCATGCCCTCTTCAAACGCTGTGCCCCTCCACGGGGTCAGCAAAGAAATAACACGATCAGCGACCAAGACTCGCCCCTATATATTTGCTTTTGGTGTAATAGGAGCAGCCATAAGGTCAGTCGCAACTACTCTCTCTCTTATGGATTTATTCTTATTATAAGCAGCTCCATGATCGCCATGTTTGCTCTTATCATTGCCAGCACATCCTCTATCTGGCCTCATGTGTCAGAATTGCAGACCAACAGTAATAAAGTTAAATCCAGTCCAGGAATCAACTCGATACTTCCTGCGCCATGTCATTCACATAACGACTATTGGAGACTCATGCCTTTCCAATCAGCTGTAGATGCCGGTTGCATCGGTATAGAAGCTGATGTCTGGGCTGTCCAGAGTGAGCTCTATGTCGGCCATGACCTGGGCGGTCTGTCAACTGACCGAACTCTATCATCAATGTATATCCAGCCGCTGATGAAGCTACTACAATCTCAAAATCTAGACACTGATTCTAATCTTCCGCCTCGGGGAATATATGGTCGCAAACATGATCAGACAGTAGTGTTACTGGTAGACTTGAAGTCAAATCCCAACACATCATGGCCGCTTTTGCTCGAAAGACTTGAGCCCCTTCGCCAAAAGGGATGGTTGAGTCATGTCCATGACGGCAAGTTTGTCTCGAGGCCCATCACAGTGGTGGGAACTGGCGAGACCGAGCTGCGTCTGGTGAACGAAGCCACCCCTTTTCGAGACATCTTCCTAGATGCACCGCTTGATCAACTGAATGAGGGTCTTTATAACGACCTGAACTCGTACTATACGAGCATATCATTCGAAAAGTCGATTGGAAAAGTTGGCTCAAAAGGTCTCAAGCCAGAGCAACTAGCAAAGTTGCGGGATCAAATCTCTCAAGCCCATAGCCGAGGTCTCAAAGTGCGGTATTGGGGTATGCCATATTGGCCACTTCATGTGCGAAATCAACTCAGAGAAGTGTTGGTTGACGAGGGCGTGGATGTCCTCAACGCGGACGATCTGTGGGAGGCAAGGGAAATTTTCTCCAAGAGAGGGTATATGATTGAGTGAATTATGCAGTTGTCGTATCAACACCAATCCATGTAGTCGACCCACTACACTAGATATCGCAGCCCAAATATCTATCATTACCTCAAAGAACCGCCAGACATCCATACAAAATAAGCAAATTTCCGAGTCTCCGGTATATCACCGAGTACAATCTTGATCTCACCTAGTGCGACTGCAACCCATTGACACGTCATGGAGCCTGTAACCCCGCAAGCTGATAACAGAATGGGGAGCATCTCCGTCATGACTTGATGTCCTTCAAGCGCGTGAGTGAATGAAACTCCCTCCTTACATCCACAAACCAACATATCATATCCCCATAAACAGTCACAATGGCAAACGAAGGGCGCATCGCTACTCTGGATGTAAGACTGATTAATCATAACTGTATAATGGCATCATGCTCATCCAATACAGTCAACCATCGCTGATAGGCTTCCCGCCTTCTCAAAGACACTCTTTGACGGGAAGGCCGCCAAGGACTTGAGCTTTGAGGCAATTGCAAAGCATTTAGGCCGCAGCGAAGTTGCAGTGGCAGCATTGTTCTACGGACAGGCCACCGCCTCGTCTGAGGATGTCGAGAAACTGTCAGAGATCCTTGACCTTCCCAAGGAGACGTTGGCTGCTCAACTAACAGGCTTTCCTAACCGTGGCCAGGCTGGACCTATGCCCCCAACTGAGCCTCTCATCTACCGCTTATACGAGATCGTTCAAAACTATGGTTATGCTTACAAGGCCATCCTCAATGAGAAGTTTGGAGATGGTATCATGAGTGCCATTTGCTTCTCGACCACAGTGGACAAGGAGGTGGACGAGGCAGGCTCTCCATGGGTCGTTATCACATTGAAGGGCAAATGGCAAGCCACCTACTATCCCTGGCACAAATTCATGACTAACCAACATGTTCAGGCTTCCTTTCAGTCGCTTTTAGGCATTGTTCTTTTGCTGTAATTGGTTGACGGCTCTGAGTTATGATCACGCTGCATGTTGTGTCACGTATATGAATGATTACTCAAAGGGCATTTACACGACGAGATTGCAAATTGGAGCATCGTTGAGGTCACACAAGCCTAATTACATGTAGTTCGAGTAAATCGAACTAGGCAGGTTGTGGCAATGCGCTTGAAGACAATATGAAGCGAGAGAACAATACTAAGCAATTTACAAAGAAATATCAATATCCGATCCAAGCGCTTCGGCGTCCGTGTACCACATGACAGCACAACTCGGTGCATTTCTAATCCCCGAAAGTTTCTAAAGCCTATCTGCATTTAAAATAAGGCAGGCCAAGCAATCTAGAAGCCCTGCAACAAGTTGGTAGCTACACTAGCGGCGGGTATTCTTTTGTTTGACAGCAACACCATCTCGAGAACAATATTAAGCGGTTTTGCACGGATCATGGGCTCTACGGCCAACACAGAAACTCGGTGAGAGGTACGGGTTATACTGGCCAAGATTGAGAGCATCTTGGTTCTGGCAAGTTGGCCAGGCTTGAGTATAAAGATGATGGCTTCTTCCTCTCTAATCTAAATCTCATCAACCATAACAATCACTCACAACACTCTTTCACCATTCTCAACACAGAATACTCTCCGACTTTTCTAAGTCTTTCAACCCCAACTTTCAAAATGCCTTCCACCAAGACCACCTCTTCCCAGAAGCCTGGCTACCCTCTCAGCTGCACTGTCATGGCTAAGCCTACTGCCGCTGACCAGAAGCCCGGTTACCCTCTCAGCTGCACTGTCATGTAAAGCTGTTTTGCTTTCCCGATCACTTCTGGACTTTCTTTTTTGGGAGCGACTTGACAACCAACAACGCACAACCAGCTACCGACAACACAAGGCGAAGCGTTCGCTTTCAAACAACAAATTGGAAGAAGATGGAAATGATATGGCAAGGAGAAGATTCATTGGCTTGTTTACTTTTGTTTTTACCTGGCTCTGAGTGACGGGACGCCGACATGAGGACGCCATTTTACACTAGCTATTCACTCTCATTCCACTTGGTATGAGAGAAGAACGCCCTATTAGGAGATTGGGGACGATTTTATAATTTTCTTGAACACAAGTCTTTGGATTGAAATCGTTTGCGCTCTTGAATGTGAATATGTGAACTATATATCTAGGTTGTAAAGACATCACCTGAGACTATAACAGAACTACTTGTGGCATCTAGACGCTCCTTGGTACTGACAATTTTCAATATGGATTGAATAGAGTAATTCATATTGAAGGAAGTATGGTAAAACTTCATCTATTTGACGGGGTGTTCCTCAAAGTTTGATAGCTCTGGTTAGGACGGCTTCATCAAGAAAGATAGGGCTTATTTAGTCTTCATGAACTCTCATGTTGTGATAGCCCGATTTGGTAATTCCCTAAGAAAGCCAAAGTGGGTACTGAAGGCGCGAAAAAATCTAGCTCCGCTAAAAAAAAGTCAAGGCGGTGAAATTGGTCCCGCGGCAGAATTTGGAGATTTTTCCTATTAGCACCAGTAACATTTGCCCAGCAGCTTGCGCCGACACAAGATCACTACAAAGTCGCATCAACAAAACAGCCGCAAAAATGGTCACAAAAAGCAAGCTAAAGATGGCTCTCGCCGCCGAAAAGGGCATAGATTTCAAGAAGCTTAAGCTCCAGAAGAAACAGAAGGAGGCTACGAAGCGAAACGCCGCCGCTCGTGGAACCGACGACAAGGATTCAGACGAGGAGAAGGAGAAGAGGACAATCCAGATTGAGGCTGATTTTGAGGATGAAGACGACGAGGAAGAGGATGAGGATGATGAGGAGGACGATGAGCCCCAGGTTTGTACTAGTCTCACCATATACTCACAACTTACACTGACAAATTTCACCAGTACGACCTACAAGGCATCAACGACAGCGACGACTCAGACTCTTCAATCGAGCTTGAGGAGAAGATTATTCGCAAGCCAAAGAGAGATACACTCAAGAAGACCGAGCTTGCACAGTTGGCAGCTGAGAAGGCAGCCGCAGCCGCAGCTGAAGAGGACGACGAGGAGGAGGATCCTGAGGCAGACGATATCCCCATGTCCGACCTTGAGGATCTCGACGAAGATGATAAGGAGGACATTATCCCACACCAGCGCCTCACCATTAACAACACAACCGCCCTCCTCGCCGCCTTGAACCGCATTTCTGTTCCCACAGACAAGTCTGTTCCCTTCGCGGCACACCAGTCCCTCGTTTCCAGCAGCGCCACAGCCGAATCTATCCCCGACGTCCAGGACGATCTCCAGCGCGAGCTCGCCTTCTACACCCAGAGTCTCGAGGCCACCCGCACGGCCCGCAAGCTCCTTCGCCAGGAGGGTGTCCCCTTCTCTCGCCCCAAGGATTACTTCGCCGAGATGATCAAGGAGGATGCCCATATGGAGAAGGTCAAGGCCAAGCTTGTCGAGGAGGCATCCAACAAGAAGGCTGCCCAGGAGGCTCGCAAGATGCGCGACCTCAAGAAGTTCGGAAAGCAGGTTCAAGTCGCCAAGCTCCAGGAGCGACATAAGGAGAAGCGCGAGACTCTCGACAAGATCAAGAACCTCAAGCGAAGTAAGTACTCTTGCAATCAAGCCATATTTATCATGTTGCTAACATCACTTCTCAGAGCGCTCAGAAACCGGCGGTGCTGGTCTCGACACCAAGGAAGCCGACATCTTCGACGTTGGTGTCGAGAAGGAAATGAAGAGCCACAACCCTCGCTCAGGCGCTGGCCGCGGTGCCGGAGCCGGCAACTCCAAGCGAACCAAGAAGAACGAGAAGTACGGCTTCGGTGGCAAGAAGCGCCACGCCAAGTCGGGCGACGCCATGAGCTCCGGCGATCTCAGCGGCTTTGACCCCAAGAAGATGAAGGCCGGCGGCAGAGTATCAAAGCCGCGGCCTGGCAAGGCGAGAAGAAAGTCAATGGGCTCTCGGTAGAGGGGGTGACTAGAGCGGTGTTAATGCCTGTTGTTGACGAGGTTGGCCTGTGTGGTGTATTACTGTTGAAAGAAAAGGCTAGAGATGAAGTACAAGGGCTGGCGTTTCGGGTCCTCTTGCATGTAAATCGAAACAATTTGGTCAATATTTATATTTCCTATCACCAAACTATGTTCTCCATCCAATTTTTTACAAAGCGAATGCGCTTGCTATGCCTGAACGAAAGAAACGCAACAGTGTTGCCGCAGTAGGTTCACGCACATCTAGAGACTATCTTCATTTTTTACATTCACCAAAGGGACTGTTGCTTATTTTGTTGTTTTTTGGTCATTTCGTCTATACCCAAAGGACTAAGTAGCAGATTCTGGTCACAATTGCATATGAGTTCTTGCAGTCGTAACACCTGTTGTGATGATGCCCTTTTCGAGGCCCAATCACCAAGCAAGAGGCCGCAATCTAACTCTGTTGAATATGCACATCAGTATCCACTGATCCAACTTTTGCGGTCGACTGTGCTCAATCTGTCTGTCGCGAAGCTTCTTCGCGGGTCTCCATCGTTGTTCCGCCGTCATCATTCATATCCAGATGTCCATGCACCCGAAGTAGCGACACCCGAGAGCCTCCAGTAGTCAGAGGTATCTATATACATAAGGGAGCATTGTTTTCTGTCTGCTATATGGCCGCTCCTTGTGAAAAACGCCTGCACTCAAAGGAGAGGGGTCTCTGAGCGATTGCCAGTCACAACAATAAGAAATAATTAAAAGAAAGAAAACCTGCAAGGCTGTGGGAAGTGCGGTAGAGGGTAAAAAAATACAAAAAAGGAAACATTGGAAGTGCAATGACATGTGATATGCACCCAAAAGTCAGTGACCGTTAATGCCCAGCCCGAAGACGCCCATGAAAAGAGAAAGCAAAACCAGTGGTATCGAGAAGAAACGCCATGCGCTCATGACACGCTTTGCTGTGCAATGCATTCGCAACCCTTAAAGAAGAATGTGTATGAATCAAGCATTGATGCCGCAGAATTCGCCGAGAAGATGCTGTTGTGAATTGGTTGTCGTAAAAATCGTTGTCAAGCGACCAGCTTACTGGGTGGCCGCTACGCACCAGTGGCGATGGAAAGCCCATGCACTCTTCTGACACTCCTTGCTACAGTATTTGGTGCGTCGGCATCGGCGGCATTTCGCAAACTGGCGGGTGTACTCTTCCCATTTACCGCATTGGTAGTAGGCACACTGACGAATGCCACCACGAGTGTCATCCTTGCGGCAGAGATTTCTCATGACAACGCCGGCCCAGTACTGCATATCAGTACTGTGATAGCGCACAGTGAACTTCTCGACAAGAGGAAAGAGGTTGAAATCATTGGGAAGCAGATACTCTTCGTCGTCGGCATCTTCATCGTAAACCTCAGGAACATCCTCTTCCTCATCCATGGCAGTGATGTCCTTATCGATGGCAGCAAGCTCTTTACCGATCTTGAGACGTGGGACAAGGTGGCTCTTTTGGAAATAAGAGCGAAGCCCACAGTACTTGGAGACATATGCGAGAAGCTGCAGAGACATGAGCACATCTTCTTCCCGAGGCATAGCGGCAACCATCTGAGGGTTGGGGACGAAGTTACGGTCCAGGAGATATCGAGGGACGGTGGTAGCAGCTAGAGGAGGTTGTGGAGGTGTGGTCATCGCAGGACGGTTGGGCGAGAGTCCAATCGCGGGAACCGGTGTCGGGGCGTTGTTGTTGGTAAGGCTGCCATCCATGGGACTACGGTGGTTGATATTGAAGGTGCTGGCTTCCTGATGGGTTTCAGAGACTGTTGGCGTAGCCAGATCGAGAGCTGTACCACCAAGCATGGTGTCGCCGTCCTCCATAGTAATATCCTGAATACCAACAGCTGATTGCAGGTTGTCGGTACCTGTCATCTCTGTCTCGGGTGACTCGTCTGAGGGCATGCTATCACCGTTAATGTCATCGGCATCGGCAGTCGAGTTCTGGTGGCGGATCGATGGGCGTCGGCGAGATCGACCAGATGGGCCAAGAGCGGATGCTGGGCGAACAGTCGGCGAGCGCATCTGAGGGGGTGGCAGAGGGGTCGTTGGCGATGTCGGTTGAGAAACCAAATCTGTAGAGCCGAATGGGGCCATTGAAGCAAGGCGATCGATATCACGAACAGGTCTCACAAACCCCTCGACAGTATCGGTGTTCGATACTACAGTTGCAAGGGGCTGCATGGTCTGCCGAGGGGCCGAAGTCGTGGCGTGACGATCTTCAAGTCCTCTCACTCTCAGGGGCTGGTGACGAGTTGAGCCCCATGATGCAGAGCGCTCTGAAGCGGACTGAGGCCATTGGGAACCACCCATAGCAGTGTCCAGGGACTGCTGCTGAGGGTGGGTTTGAGGAGCGGCAGTAGATGGTCCTGCGTAGGAGGCTGAAACATCGATGGAGGGCGGTGGACCGTGACGGCGAGATCGCTGTTCGATGGTGTCAACACGAGAGCTAGAGCGATGGCCAAATGCAGAAGCAGCCACAGCTACCGATGATGAGGAAGATGATGCGGAAGCAGTGGCCGATGCTGAATTGGACGAAGAAGGCTTCGGGTTTTGGCGGTACTCATGGCCTCGGTGACGATGGTTATCGTAGTTCTGCTTTTGTTTGGCTTCTTCGGCCTTCTCGCGGCATTTGTCGACAGCCTTGGTATAGTTATCGAGGATTGTAGCGATGACAGGGACCATGTCAGCCTCGACAACACGAGTGCGGACGTTTTCCGTGCCTCGAACACCAATATTGACGACACACTGGAAAGCAAGGTTCCACTTCCACATTCCCATCATGTCCTTACTACGGCCTTGTTTCAGAATGCAGACAAGACGCTCAATACCTCCATCGACGGTGAGAATGTCGCGGATACGAGCAGAAGATGTGGTGAGATAGGCAAGATGGTTGAGCGAGTTGATGAGGGGGAGTGTCGAGGTGCAATCGAGCGCACGGCGATCATATAGGGCGGTAGTAATACCGACAGACGCCTTGTTGACGTTTGGGATACTAAAGTTGACTTCCCTCATGATTGCGGTTGATGGCGATGGCGAGGGATCGAAGAGGCTTTTCGGGGTATGGTATGGGAGGGATTATTCAGGGTCCCAAATTGTCGAGGTGGTGTGGCGACCTGAAGCCTGATTACAGAGAGTCTGGCCAGATTCGCAACGTGATGACACAAAAGGATGCGAAGTCGAATGATGATGAGGACAAACCCCTCGATGGGGGACTGGCCAAGGAAGAGCGAGTCGGGCAGAGTTTTGAGGTTATCGTTACGATTCGTGACGCGGTGGAGCGGATTGATGCAGGATTACTCGTGAGTGCCTTTGGACAGGGGAACGGTTTCCAACGGCCAAGACAAGATTTCGAAGGTATACGGACAAAGAGTTTTGTACAGCAACAGTAATGGAAAAAAACAAGAAGGTGAGATGGAGGATATGCTGAAGATGGCTTTGGAGCGGTTGAAGAGGTGACGGGAGGTGAGTTTGAGTTGATGAATGAGATGAGATAGATGGGAGACAAGACAGACGGACGGGAGAAAAGACGGGAGTGAAGTGGAGAGTCGATTGAGGGAGTGAGTGAGGTGAAGAGGCTGGGCTGGTTTGGTTTTAGGCGGGTGTTCGAAACCCAGGCATTCGGCCGATGGCAGCCCAGTAGCCCACCTACAGAGCACCCTCTGCACTGTACAGTAGGGGAGACCGAATTAGGCGGGCGCACCAGGGGGAGATGCTCTCTTTGGCGGGTCTTGGGGCCTAGAAGTGGGAGAAATGGGGGAGGTCTGTGGGTGTGAGGTGTGTGGCGGTGGAGGGACCCGACACCTGATGAGCTGCAGCAAGGAACTTGACTGTATTAAGGGTATTGATTGCCAAGGTACTGTGTGCTGCTTTAAGAGATGATGTTGAGTTGAGATACGAGGCGGTGCTTGATTTCCAGAGTAATCAATCACTCGATATCAAAGTTTGATAAGATACGCTGGACGTTGAAGATGTTTATTATAAAAGCAGGAACAAAAACGTTCGAAAGACAGGAAATAAGATGTCCACTACTAACGTACGTAGGTTCATTGCCTTGCTGTTACAGCGCGTACAGCTAGCTACCTAATACTAAGTGCTATGTAAGCTTGGAGTCGTAGGTCAAATGTCAGGTCCCCCTCCAATTAATAATTGATCCCCCTGTCCAAACCATTTTTCCGTTCTTGTACTGAGTGATTATTATTCGCCTCTTCCACCACAAAGGCCTAGAATCTGCTGCAGGAGGATGGATGGGTAGTGGATCGCATGCGAGATAATATGAATGGATGGCTTAAATAAAACGGAAAGTGATGGCGAAAAAGAAAATAAAAACGCAATCGAAGCTCGGCGACAGCGAGGCTACAATAAAAGCGAAGCTGATGAGTGAGCCTCTGCCTACGTGACTAAACTAAAGTGACTCAAGCTCAAGCAAGCTGAGGAAGCTCGTGCGCTAAAAATGGTCTAATACATGACAGCTGAAATGAAGGAAATACGCAATGCCTTGGATCCTGCTTAATATCTCAGTAGGCTGGTATTGCCATTTGGTGAGGTTGGGAGCTTTGATTTTGATTACATATGGCCACTGGTGGAATTGTTTCAGGCGTAGCTGGAGATGACAGGGGCATGCATATTCTCCCTTGCACACCATTCCCAATTATTGCTCACTTTTGTCTGTTCTTCCTAGCAATATTAAAATATAACAATACTCGGCTCCGGTTTCTGGGAATGCTCTAGGGCATGGTTCTTTGTTGAGGGGTTCATCATAGCTTTGATCCAGAGTCAGACAGGCCATGGAACAAAGGATTGATGACATGGCAGGCCGCTATTTTGGCTGACACCAAGTCTGGCAATGACTGATATAAGGATCGGTGGACAGCATGAATCCATCCCACTACGCATAATAAATAAATAACCTTGACGGACACCTGTGTGGACAAACAATCGAGCACAGTGATGCGATAGCTCATCTATCCCGTCCAGACCGACAGTATGATATTGTATCACTCTTTGAGACGAACCAAGCTTGTCAAATAAGCTCTTGCATGATGATTGAGTCCCATAGAATAACCAACATGACCATTTCTGATGCAGCGGGTGGCTTGCTTTGTATGCGGGTGAAACACACAACGTTGTAGCATGGCAAAGTGAATAATGGCCAGACAATCTCCGCATCTCTTCTGAGTCAATACTCAAATATCGACATGCTAAATACTAGCTAGTCTAGCATTCCGAGTCATCTCTCTATGGAAAACCATCACGAGACCGCTATCTCATATCATGTCCATGATGACTATGACCTTGTCCACGAGATGAGCTTGCGTCGGGCCGTCAGCCAAGGAAGCTAATTACCTTGAAAGCGGTTGCGCTTGGAGCATTTCGGTTCGGCTTTGAACCCCCACGTACCGCATTTCCATCGATTTGTTAGTAATTGGGGGTTATCATATCGCCATTGGCGGCTATCACAAAGTATACGAGTATTTTTATCGATTTTCCAGAAGTACGGTCTGTTGCAAAATTAAAAGGTATGGACGACTATATTAGCGTTAATAATTCCCAATACACTATCAAGATACTATCTGTCATGAAGGATCATGCTGAGCCAAGAACCGTACAGGCAGAGGGCGTGTTCTCGACTTCCCCAGGCACGACGTATTCGGATGATATACTGCCGATCATCTCATGCAAATCAACGGTTTTCGCCCAAACTGAATCAGGTAATGATTGATACTTTCGGGAAATTTTCCACCATTTCAATCGTAAAAATCGCCGATATCTACCCTACCCTAAACCCTCGAGAAGATCGCATTCTGACAAGGGAAGCACATTATATATCAATATCCCTTAATGCCAGATACTGCTTGATATATCTTACAGCCAATTGATGGAATTTTGTGTCAATTCTCATATCCCTCTTTTTATCTGTCTGCTGACAGATAACCAAGGCCGCCGCTCATTTGTCTAGGTGGGACAACCAACGAACAATGTCACCCACCAGAAACTTGGGCTTTTTTTCGTCGCAGAGCTAACATTACCGTAGACACAATTGTGATTTTTTCTTACTGCAGACCTGAACTTTGTTGAGTCGCTTCTATCGAGCCTCCTCGTCATTCCCGCGTTAGAGGTTTGCACAGACCCCGCTGAGACTGCCACGATCCTTATGTCCTAAATATTGATCAGGATCAAGCCCGACATGATTGGCTGTTATGGCGTACGTTGCCGCTGCATCGGCGCTTAACTTCTGCAAGCACCAACAAGACATCCTTTGACAACGAATTGGAAGCGAACAGCAGTCAATGATCGTCGAGGCTGCATTCGATGAACATCTGATTTAGAGGATCTAGCTAGATCAGGACAGAGTTGCATTATAAAATGAAGTTCGTCAATATCCCAACCAAATATAGTGGGCAGCAGAAAAGTTGATCTTTAGGCTACAAAAATAAATAGTCTAAGAAGTACGGTCTAAGTAGCACAAACTGGCCTACCAATTTCGTCTCTCATGCTTATGGCGGCCAGCTTTTCTGGTACCCTGATGCCAATACAGAAGCAGTGTTGAAGAACATGTCAATAAATCCTCGTTAATAATCATTAATAGTATCAAGTCTGGGTAAATGGTGTCAGAACTTAATTCAAGCTCAAAGCTAGAAACATCCAGCCAACGCATTATCTAGTCGCCGCTGATTTTAGCATGCCGGAAGTACTTCATCCCAACCCAAGCTACAACAACCCATACCCATGCCATTACACCCGTGAGAATGATTAACGCAGGGTAGTATCCCACAATTGGCAGAGTATCATCGTCTTCGAACTCTGGCGGCGCATATGGAGTCTTGCCTACGTCCCACGCCCAGCTCCAGAGATCAAGACAAGATCCCATTCCAACGACAAATACAAACCATGTCATGTACAGAACAACCCATCCCCACCATTCCGTGTCTGCGTAGTCCCAGTCTTCATGCGCCGGCAATGTGTTGGACGACAGACCACTGAATGACAATGGGGACTTCGCTCTGTTTGTGAGCCGTCTGCGTTGTGATGATGTCGATTTTACACTGTTGAAGTAAGAGTCTGGTCCTGGTGATATCGACAGACTCTGCCTGATTGTCGATGAGCTACCAGGTATCTGGAGCATATCTTCCTCATCTGTAGACGTATAAGATGCTCCATCTTGATCCGCTAGTGCTGTTGAACGAGCTGTAGTATGCAAGGATGCCACCTTCGTAGGAAGTACAGGTGCCGTGCCGAGTCCTCCAGGCAAAGGCGCAAACCCATCGACATGTGTGCGCCGCGCACCCCCTTGTGCCGCATTTAGATCCAGAGATTCTATCGGCGACGGACTCTGGGTCTGTACAGCCGTAGGATCGAGCCCATATGCAGCAGCATGTGAAGTGTCGATAACTAGGGACCTGCTTTCTCTGCGCTCGCGTTGCGCTCCTCGACCAAGCAGGGCAGCTTTCCTAAGAGATCCCCGGCGTCTTCGTGTTCGTTGATATTGTATCACGCTCGCAGATGGTCGGGCAGCAGGCCGATGGGTTGTCGCAGGGGCATCGTCGTCGATCGCATTTTCGGTCTGTTCACGTCGCTTTTCTGGTGATGTCCTCAAAAAGGGGAACTTGGATAAGATGCTCGAATTTGAGGAGTTTCGTCGATGGGGTGGAGAGGGTGTAGGTAAATTGTCCTGTTTGTTTTCTGAAGTGCCCTCCATCGCGAAGTTGTAAGTGGGAGCGCCAAGCAAAGTGGTTACTTAGATTCGCTTTTCCGAATGTCGAGGGAAGAACCAAGAAGTTGGGGCCAGCATTCGGTAGGTAGTGGGAGCAAAATCATTCACGGTCACAGCTATGTGCCGCGAACTATTATTATTGATGTAAAGGGAATAGCTGCATGGCTTCCGTAGCCTTCGTATAATATGAACTGTCGCAAAAGTAGAAGTTGCAAGGACTACTAAAGCCAGATAGAGGACATGAAGCTAATGACGATATCTTTGAGGCGTCGAGAGACGCCAGCCACAAAGAAGGGCCAGGGACTCCATGATCCGCTAGAACAGACATGGATGATGTGGCTTGGGCGCTTGTGTAGCCCCTGCATCCTCCGAAGTACCCCTGAAAAACCCCCCATCGGTCGGTCCGCCTCCACAGTGGACAACCTAATGGTTATCGATCGCGACGTCAACCTACGCATTCCATCTTGTCTTCCGTTTCGTCAAGGCTTGCGCTATCGACGAAACCAGTTTGTGCCCAAAACCTTCAACCTCCATGTTACGGTTTTCGAGTCTCTAAAACAGGGTTCCTGGAATCAATTGATCGGCTTGTCGATCTAACTGAATAAAGAAGCGCGTATCCGAAAGCAGCAGCACATGTCGGACTATCCAGGTGCTTGTCCTCCTCAGAAACTCCGCCCGCCAAGTCTGGTTTTCCAGGGCGATAGCGACGACGGTTTTGACATAACGAACTTCGAAAAGTTTGCAGACGGTGGTGTTGATAGGAATAACGACTCTATCGCTATCAATCGCCAAGTCAACCATAACGCCGTCGCTCAGAATTCGGCAGCGAATCTACTGATACCCTCCACGACAACTACGTCCTCTTCCTCTCTATCACTCCCGACAATGAACGCCGAAGACGAGACAGCGGACTCTCCTTCGTCCCCTGGGTTTAAGAACCCTTTCAATTTCCAGACGCAGGTGATCTCTGCAGGCCCTGTCAAGTCGGTGTGTAGCCTTTCTTCACATGTCTCCAACAATACGCTGATATATCTTTTCGCAGAACATTGGACAACGTCGCGGACACAGATACAAACACAGTAGTATCTCGTCTCAACATCAAATCTTCAAAGAACCACCGCAGAGACCCCCACCAGTCCTTCCCGCTTCTCTCCCTATCCCGACCGCTCGCGAGGCATGGAAAAGCATGACAAAGGACCAACGTATTCACTGTTACTGGAGCATGTGCCACCTTACTGTGGCTACTTATATCTTCTTCCGCTCAGAGGGCTCTCTTGCTACTACGGCCCTCTCGCATCTTGTCTTCTTCGATGCCGGTAGTGCTGCTGTCTGTGTCATGGTTGACGTCCTTGGTAATTTTGAGGTTTGGCGACGCAGCAGTATCCGGCACCCCTTTGGTCTCGAGAGAGCCGAGGTCCTTGCTGGATTCGCCATGTCTGTTTTCCTTCTCTTTGGAGGGTTTGACTTGGTGTCACACACACTTAAGCATTTCCTCGAGTCTCTTGGCAACCATGAGGCTCATCATGAACACGGTCATGACAGTCCAGATGGTTCTATTGACCTTGTGTCTGCTGCTGCTATGGTGAGCACCCTAGTCTCGGCATACGGTCTCCGAAACCATGCTCGTATTGCCAAACTTCTGCGTGTCTCGTACCTTGCTGCTTTGCCAAGTGTACTGTCAAACCCCTTCCACTTCCTCACGCTCTCATTCTCCGCTGTTATTGCTCTTCTTCCACTCCTCTCTATCTCACTCTACACGTGGCTCGACCGTCTTATTTGTGCTGTTATCGCCTTTGCCATGTTTGCCCTTGGTATGCGGCTAGCCGTCGCACAGGGCCTTATGCTACTCATGTCCTATGGTGGCAGTGATGGCAACAACGGCGTCAGTGCCGTCCTTCGAGAGATTGAGACTGAACCAAGCGTCGTTGCTATTGATGATGCGCAATTCTGGCAGGTCCACTATGGCCTTTGCATGGCCAACCTCAAGTTAAGCGTCGTCAAGGGCTATGATGAGATGTCCATAAGTAAGCTACGGCAGCGTATCTCGGGCTTAATCCAGAACAGACTGGGTGAAGGATACGGCCACGGTGGAAGTATTAGATGGGAGGTGACGCTACAAATGAGTACAGAGGGCAGTACATAAGGGGCACAACATCACTCCGAAGCAGGATAGTGGAAGCATACATGTTAACCTTCAATTTTGCACATATATAAATACCACTACCGAATAAAGCACTTTTACACATATTCTCTTCCATCATTTGCCCCCCTAGTGGGTAATATAAAGGTTCTCTCAGCTTTAGGATATAAAAATAAATAGCCTAAGAAGACCTGATCTAAGTAGCATAAACTCACATACTAATTTCGTCTCTTATTCAAGCCTCTTCACCGGCTTATCTATCCATAACTAAGAAAGTGGTGATAATCTAATTCCAACAATCAATCATACAACTCCTTCAACTCCCTCCCAGTGAAGAATCATGTGTCTCATTTTAACAAGAGACCTGCTTAGGGCAGGCCCCGCCGACCTTGCTTAGAACAGGTCCCGTTGGCCTGCTTAGAATAGGCCCCAACGACCTTGCTTACGGTCTCGTCTGGCGTTAGCGTTTGTTCGTTCACGGCCGTCGAGCTGCCTCAGGCTCTCCATTTTCTCGAGAACCAGCTCAAGCAATTCCTTGCGGCGAATGACCTCCAGATGCCGACGGATCTTGGGATCTTCCTTAGCGAATTTCTCGATCTCGTCGTCAGATAGGTGCTGGCGACCAAGACGACGATCCAGCTCCCTAGGAAAGCTATAATAAAACTCTGTGAGGAGCTCCACGTTCAGGAAAAGAACAGCAGTGGACGCCATCTTCGTCGCAGCGGCATCAAGGAAAACCTCAGGGCAGTAGTACTTGTTCTTGGGGTCAGCACACTGCTTGGATTTGACTGCAAGCAGGCGCATCTTGATGATATCGGCTCTGTCACGTAGGAAAACAGCCTCACATCCTGTATATGTTAGCCCCTATAGAGATACATTCGTGCGTTGAACTTACCCTTGCTCAGAAGAGCAGCGCTGAAGCCACCGGCGCCGCTACGGTTATCGCCCTCAACCACGACCTCACCCTTACGGGCCTTATCGACGTAGGTCATGACATCTTTGATTTTTCGTCTTCCGCCGACACTATCCTCGAGGTTTTTCAAGGCTCTCTCGCAGTCCTGGAGCTCCTTCTTAAGCACAGCACCCACGTGATCACGTCCCTTAGTCCACTCCTGGTTCTCGAGTTCGATCTCGAATTTATAGGGTTTGATGCAGTTTTCCACTTGGTCGCTGGTGCTGTAAAACTTATCGCTAAGAATGCTCGAGGCGGCTTCCAAGATAGCCTGACGGGTGGTAGGGTTGCTGGAGAAGCTGGAATTGCTGATGAGGGAGTCGATGTGAGCCTGTATAGAAGAGGCAACCGCAGTGGTGGCCAAACGCCCAACACCGAGCTTCGTAAGCGCGGATGTAGAAGCATCCAACTGTCGGTGCCAGTAAAGAGAATCGGCAGGAGCTTTCGGTAGATCTGCTAGATTGTCCAAGTCGGGATTCACTGGCGAGAGATCTTCGATGGGCTTGTTCCAATACCTGGCCGCGAGCAAGTCAAGGACCTTCTGGTCCAGTTCCTGCTTCAGAAGCTCGTGCATCTGAGGACGTCCAAACTCCTCGGCAAACTGCTTGAAAGAGTGCTTGAAGGAATCCAAACTCTCTGCAAGATAAGATTCGGCCGAAAGCGGGCGGTCGTTATATTGAACCTTAAACTCGTATGTGGCCTCCTCAAGCTCTTGTCGAATAGCATCACTGGTGCTTTGTAGGCTTCCAGACATTGTCTGTTCTAAGACATGCATAAGCTTCTTGCGGAGCGTCTTGGTTCCAACATTGACTTCAGCTCCAGGACCGAATTCCCTGGGGTGGGCGTCAAAGAAGGTCTTCTCTTGTTTGTTAATTTGGGCAAGCCGATTGGTGTTGCCCATCTTGAATAGTCCTTGGTTTTGAGGCGCCTTGGAAATCACGCCCACATACCCCAGCCTCAAGGGGTACTGTTGATCATTCAAGATGTTTGCCCCACGGACAGGATCGACCAAGTCCATCTTAGTAACCACACCGATTGTTCGCTCACCCCTAGGGTCAACCCTGCGAGACGCGCGGAGAGCAGTCGAGTTTGCTAAATCCACATCGGCAGCAGAGATGGCAAGGATGACATTAGGAGGCTGAATGTACTTATCACAAAGCTCGGAAATTTTCTGCTTTAATTCCAGGGGTTGGTTTTGTCCTACAACTTGGATGTATCCGGGAAGATCGATAAGTGACAGGTCGGGCACGTTCGGGGAGTAGACGGTTAGATGAATTGGGTCGTCAGAGACACACTGGCTATCGGGGACGGCAAGGTTGAGTTCGGTTAGAGTCCGCTGAATTGATGAAAAGTCGGTGATATGTCTCAGTCCTAGGTCGGGAAACTCGCCATACTCCTCCTTAGCAGATGGCGTGTTGACGAGAGTCAGCTCAATTGGCCTCCTTGTAACCATGTTGGAACCCTTTGGGAGAAATTCGTGACCAACAATGGCCTCCAAGACGGAGCTCTTTCCCGAAGACTGGGATCCTATAACCACAATGGAGGGAAGAGTCAAGGTGCTGGACTGTCCAACCTTTTGGAGAATAGTTCGAATCTCGATCATCTTCTTGGTTAGAAGCATCATCTGGTCGTCCTTAGCCACCTGTTCGACATTTCGAGGATCCTCATCGTCCGACTGGTCGTAGCCATAAGCAGCAGCTGTAGCACCCACAGCAGCTGCGGCACCAACCTTGCTCTGCTTCGGCTCGCCACCGCCTGAACCGCCTGAACCGCCAGTACCAACATCTTCTTGAAGTTTTAGGATTTGTTTGACCCAATCGGGTAGTTCGGCTTTCTCTTTCGTAGATTCCCATCCTCGATTTACTTGATCAGCTATGTCCTTGGCACCGCCAAATAAGCTCGAAGCTGCGCTCGAAACGGTATCTGTGGTTGTGTTGAATAGATTCACCGCGAATGTGCCGGCCTCTATTAAAATTAGCCATTGTTTGATATGGGTGTGTGTGTGTGGGATTGAAGTTGTGACATACGAGCTGCTTGGTATTGAACCCAGGCAAAAGCACCGATGGCCACACCGCCAAACATTGCCGGCACCCTCAGAAACTTGACCATAAGTTTAGGCAAGAATCTAGCAAAGGAGGCATTCCTTGTAGTGACAGCATTGTGAAAAGCATTGTTTCCGCCTTGCCACATTCGTTTTCGTGTCGCTCGAATCGCAGCATCAGCTTGGAGGAGGCCACCCGTAGATTGACGATGTAGATGCAAGTGTCTGACGGGAAGGACCGTAGTCCTGCGTGGAAGAGGCCGCAACCCAGCGGCGAGTAGTCCACTCATGCTGGCCTTATGTCTGTAATGTAAGCTTAAGGTCCCGATGATAAGGGCCGACGGCTCGCCCAAGTTGATGGTAGTAGCATTGGATGTAGGTTACGAATATTGAGCCGCTTTTTAGGTCCTGAACAAGACACAAGGCGGGGCATGTGACACTAAGCCTGATTAGGTCACTTACAACTTTGACATATCTTCAGCAATGAACCTCTTGAGGTAAGACTAGAGGAATTTACCTAAAACATAGTCTAAGGTAAGTACTCTAAGATTCCATAAGACATTACCCTAAATTATAACCAGAAACCCGTCAAATGGATCTGCTCACAATAACACAATGCTAAGGCTTCCGTCGGAGACCTCCATAGCCCACCCAGATCGCAGGCCCGATTGGTCAAATATCGTAAGATCCCCCACGAAGGCCTCTTTCAATGGGTAACTGGAATAGACTCTTCATAAGAATGAGAGAGGCATGTTTCAGTTTCATGCACAGCTGATGTCTTCTTAAAAACAGCATATATTCTAGTCAGGCTGGGATCCTGGCTTCCATGAGTTCTTGATATGATTTCTGCCGTTCAAGTGGATTATGAAGTCGACACAAAGTGAGCTACATTCCTGTAGTAACAGGAAGACGGAGTGTGACTTGAATGTAAAACTGTATAAGTCTTTTCATCCAACTGTGTCTACGGGTCTTGATGTGTTGGCTTCCATGATGACCCACCTGCCGCCAATCATCGAATTGCAACAACCCTGACTGGTGGATAGCAGAAAAGTTAGCCTCGTAAGTCTTACGGTATAAAAAATAAGTATTCTAAGACCTATGATCTAAGGAGCATAAAGTGACCTACTAATTTCGTCTCTTATGCTTCCAGCGGTCAACTTTTCCAATACCCTGAGGCCTGATGCAGGTTAAGAGGTAGTGACCCCACTAGCCTTTAGCGTTTGAGTTTATCGCCACGTGACTGGCTTATCTGTCGCAAAATTTCTAGAGGGGCGCATATCGAGGATGTTCTCAAGTATCAACTTTCCCGTGTCAACATCAAATCTTTGCGCCAACGCCGACACAATGGCGATCACCAAAGAAGTAAGCCAGCAGAGAACTGTGTGGATTCAAAGAGCTAACTGTTCCTACAGAAAGCGAAAGGACGTCTTGATAAGTGGTATCGACTAGCGAAAGAGAAGGGCTATCGTGCTCGAGCTGCCTTCAAGCTTATCCAGCTCAACAAGAAGTATGGCTTCTTGGAGAAGAGCAGAGTCCTTCTGGATCTCTGTGCTGCACCTGGTTCATGGCTTCAAGTAGCAGCCGAGGTGATGCCTCAAGGCAGCCTGATCGTCGGTTGTGATTTGAGTCCTATCAAGCCAATTCCTCGAGTCACGTCCTTTCAGTCTGATATCACAACTGAAGACTGCCGGGCGACCTTACGAAATCTCTTAAAAGGCTACCGTGCCGACTCGGTCATCCACGATGGCGCCCCAAATGTCGGTACTGCTTGGACTCAAGACGCTTTTGACCAGAATGCGTAAGTAGAACTCTTTATTTATTACCAATGCTTATGTTAATTGCTGTAATTAGGCTTGTTTTACAGTCGTTGAAGCTCGCAACGGAGTTTTTGAAACCGGACGGTACATTCGTAACAAAAGTCTTCAGGTCCAAAGACTACAACTCCCTCCTATGGGTTTTCAAGCAGCTCTTCAACAAGGTGGAAGCAACCAAGCCATCCAGTTCTCGCAATGTGTCGTCAGAGATTTTTGTCGTTTGTCGTGGATATAAGGCACCAAAGAAGATGGATCCTCGATTCTTGGATCCCACATATGTCTTTGCCGAACTCGCTGGCCCAACACCTAACAACGAGGCCAAGGTCTACAACCCCGAAGTCAAGAAGCGCAAGCGAGATGGTTACGAGGAAGGAGACTTCCTCCAGTTCAAGGAAATGCCCGCCAGCGAGTTTATCCAAACAACCGATCCCATTGCTGTTCTGGGCTCTTACAACAAACTCTCTTTCCAGCAACCACGCAACGGAGATGTAGCATTGGCTGCGCTTGACAAACTCCCTGAAACAACAGAAGAAATCCGAAACAGCTGCTCTGATCTTCGTGTGCTGGGAAGAAAGGATTTCAAACTGCTTCTGAGATGGAGATTGAAAGTTCGAGAGATTTTTGGCTTTGAAACAAAGAAGGCCCTCAACACTGAGGAAACTGAGGAAGTTGCCGAAGTTGAGTCAATGGACGAGGAACTCAAGATTCAACAGGAGCTTGAAGACATGAAGGACCGAGAAAACTCCAAAAGAAGGCGAGAAAAGCGAAGAGAGAACGAACGCAAACAACGTGAGATTGTGCGCATGCAACTCAACATGACGGCCCCTATGGACATCGGAATGGAAGAAGCCGGCCCCATTGGAGAAGGCGCAATGTTCTCGCTCAAGAAAGTTGACAAGACAGACGCTATGCGGAGACTGAATCGCGGCAAGATGATTGTCCCTTCTCAGGTGCCTCAGAAGCAAGTAGACAGTGGTCTTGGCTCGTCTGGAGAAACAGATGATGAGAGTGATCCTGAAGAGGATCGTTTGGAGCGAGAGCTCGATTCTATGTACGACCATTATAAGGAGCGCAAGTCTGAGATTGACGCAAAATACCGAGCAAAGAAAGCCCGGAAGGAGCACGGTGATGATGAGTGGGAAGGCCTGTCTGGCGAAGAAGCCGAAGAAAAGAACGACTCCTCTGATTTTGAAGAAGAAGATTCTTCCGATGACGAAGACGAAGGTGCAGCCCCCACACAAGGACTCATTCGCGATCTGGATTCCTCAAAGGGAGCCAACGGATTATCCAAGCGGGCGACAAATTTCTTCAACCAGGATATCTTCCAAGGCATCACAGGCATTGTACCTGAAGAGGAGTCTGCTGAAGACAGCGCGGATGAAGAGATCAACCGAGATGCAGCCGCTGTTGTCGTTCAGCAATCCAAGGCTCGCAAGGTTGAAGCACCCACTGCCAAGTCCTCCGAAATCAAGGAGACTACTCTTGACTCTGATTCCGATATGGAAGACAACGAGAACGGCTTCGAGATTGTGAAACGAAATGAAGAGGACGACTGGGACAAGGATCAACGAAGAGCTGATGGTCGACTTGACATTGACATCATCACTGCAGAGGCCATGACCCTTGCACATCAACTCGCTACAGGACAGAAAACAACACATGATGCTATTGACGACGGATTCAACAAGTACGCCTTCCGCGACCGTGATGGCCTACCAGACTGGTTCGTCGAGGATGAATCAAGACATGACAAGCTTCAGAAGCCCATCTCCAAGGCCGCGGCGCAAGCGATCAAGGAGAAGATGCGAGCCTTTAATGCTCGTCCCATCAAGAAGGTGCGCGAGGCGAAGGCTCGCAAGAAGTTCAAGGCTGCGCAGCAGCTGGAGAAGCTCAAGAAGAAGTCCGACATGCTCAACAACGACGAGAACATGACAGAGAAGGAAAAGGCAGACAGCATTGGGCGACTTATGGCCAGAGCACAGAAGAAGAAACCGACAAAGCAGGCAGCCAAACTTGTCGTGGCTCGTGGTCTCAACCGTGGTATCAAGGGACGTCCCAAGGGTGTCAAGGGCCGCTACAGAATTGTCGATCCCCGTATGAAGAAGGAGCTGCGAGCACAGAAGAGGATCTCCAAGAAGAAGAAATAATCACTTGTTTCGGGTTGGGGCATGGAAATAGACATTGCATCTTGATTTTATTTTTTGCGTGGAGTTGGTCTAGTCTGTATATTGTTTCTCAGGCTTACGTCGCGAATAAATGTCGACGTGGGATATAGGGGGCCTGTGAAATCCAAGTCGTACCTGTGGAGGATTCATATCAGCATTACACGGAAAAGTAAAAGAGATTCATTAGTTTTTGTTACCAGTAATTGACAGCTAGGACGAAGCCTTCGTCCTCTTCGGCGCATGATTGCAGAACCTTATGATACCTTGAAAATGTGAACATGTTGAACATTAACACAAAAGAGTGAAACTGGACTTACCACATAGCTGGAAGATATAGCATATCCCCGGGGTTCAGTGTTACCCGTAGAGGTCGAGCAAGATGTGAAAATTTGGTAGCGTTCTGCTCAGGCCTATCCGGGTCCCAGATAGCAAAGGGGACAGTCTCGGCATTGGAGTCCATCGCAAGTTGCATGCCATTTTCTCCCCGTTTGTATGTTGCGGGTTTAAGAGGCTGCTCATTGACACAAGGATGGCAGAGTGATGGCAACAGAACGAAGTGTTTTCTTCCCAATACTTGGACGTATATGTTTTCGTAGTTGTCCTTGTGCATAGCTGTCACTGACTTCGAGTTGCCGATCCATAGGTTGACAGCATCGGGGTCTTTGGCGAGTGCTATTCTCGCAAAAGGAACATCTTTCTGCACATCTGAAAATAGACTTATGTATTCTTCGCGAAGGTTGTCATTCTCTGTGACATTAATTAGTACATTGTTATCGTAGTAAATGTGTAAACTTACGAGTTTGTGCATATCGGACTTCAGCGTCAGCAGAAAAATCAGGGTCAGTCTCCTGTCGAGCGACGTATTCGAGCAATTCTTCAAAAGGCTGGTCCTCGTAGTGAGGCTTGGCAAAAACCAGGGACTCCTCTCCAGGAGGAACGGTAGGCATGTCAGCATTACTATTACGAGTTAGCGACGACAGTTTCATTACATCTCGATGTTTCACAGAATAGTAAGACATACCCATGTGGCGTGACAGCAACGTTCACAGATTGTCCCTTCAAGGCAGAGAGTAGATAGGCAGAATTCCATTCCCGACAGGCTTTCCAAGAAGAAGCTCCACCTCTTACGACAAAAGGTGTGTTGCGAGCGACATATCGCATAAATTCGAGCGGGCTTGGCTCCTCCTGAAACTCATCGATTGCGTTGCTGTTGAGCTCGTTGAAGGTGGAGATGAGATTCTCGATCGCCTTGTCTGCAGAGAAGGTCTCGTCTTCAAGACTGTTTTCTGGTTTTGTACCAGACATTTGGTGTTGCATAACAAGTTACTTTGCTCACTTAATGTGTGCCGGTATTTTGAGTGAAGTTGGGATTGGGCGTTTTGATAGTGGAGTGAGGCGATACCTAATAGTGAGTGGACAGAAAATTGACCACACAAACCCCATAGATTAATGGCCTATCCATCGAAACAGAAGACATATTGCAATAGGAGTTTCAACATATTGTTTCACACCATAGTTTTAGAATTAAAACGATGTAGAATAACAAGAGAATCAATCTTACAGATATCTTGAAGATATTTTATCCTTTCTGAAGCGCCTTGTCTATGCTCACACGATCCAATGTTTAAGAAGATCCAGCTTTCTCTTCAGCGCTGGAAAATGTCAATTGACGAACACCATTTGCACTACGGACGCTTCAACTTGAGAAATCTACAATGAACTACGACAGAAGTTAGCAAAGCATTGGCCATTCCTCTTCGTGTTAAACACACAACTTGGTAAGGAACCATAAGCAATAGCTGCTGCCACGGAACCACAGACCGCGTGCTCTCCAAGTATGGTAGTGCACCGAGCTACGATGTAAGACACAATGGCTGCTGAGGCTGAATGGATAAACGCCATGTCTTGCGCTCGGAACTAATAATGCGTAGTGGTACTTGCAACTTTCAACCCTTGCCGACCATGGCTGGAAGAGCTGGAACATCTGGAATGGGTACCACATGGCAACGGCATGGCCTAACAAGGAGTTGAAAGACACTATTGTCAGTGATTCAGTGATTTGTATGGTATCTGAGATTGAAACAAATTGAGGCGTTCATGATGAAGACTTGCTTTTGTGAGCTTCGCAGCTTAGACGGATAGCAAGGACATGGGTTTGAAGTGGTTTCCAGAACAGGACGAAAGGGTGGCATCGGGTGCAGCTCCTTGCTTTAAGGGGTCATAAACGCAATTCGTAAAAGATTCGAGACGTTTAGTTGGTGGGTGGCCAATACTGAGCTCTGCACTGCAAGGTAAGACTGGTTGACGCCCAAATTGATATTGTGCAACCACAAAGTATCACAGGCTAAATTGGGAGGAAGTGAGACGGGAGCCGATCTGAGATGGGACGGATGTACAGTGGAGCTGCAGCTAACCCTTCAGGGGAGACTCGGGGGAGACGGAAGACGCTGCAAACCCGGTTCAGTGCCAGGTTCCTGGGCCGTGTTTTCTTTTGATCATTCCAGTAACAAAAGAAAGCTGATCTTTTCACCCACTGCCGATGCATATGCAGCAGTAGCGAGTAATATCTTTGGGTATTATGTTGTTCAAGTCAGGAGACTTGTGTACTTCTATGGGTGAATTGGGTTCCCTCCTCCCTAAAACGTAAGAGACATGTTGTTAACCTTGACCTTGTTCTTGTTCGTACACGGGCCTCTCCTGCTAATGGAAACGGTAAGAGGCAGCCCTTAGTGGCTTTGTTGATCTGATCTCCCTTTTGCTTTCCATTCCCGGAATACTTGTTCCATCCCATCCCCAAACTTGTCGGGACATTCATTTACCAATTCCCAATTGAGTGTCTGGTCTCGTTGCTTTTGTCTTGCCAGAGGCATTCATTCTTTGACAGGTATCTACAGTACAATTCCTCAAACCCCACATTAAGGCAGCCCGTCAGATTTTTCGACTTTAAACTTTGACTTTAACCTGGATTTGGACTTGAGATCCAGGGCATCTGCTTGGTAAACTAGAATCGCGCCTTGTTGTCATAGCTTCGATTTTAGGTAGGTACAGGTACGGTTGGGTTTAGGTGGTTTTACCTGGTTTTACATGCCATTCTTTCCCACTTTCCGTAGCGTCGTTTCTTTTTTCCACGTCCTCCATCAACCCCAACATTCATCTCCTCATACATCTTATTTCCTCGTCTGTATTATATTCACCTCTTTCATTGTACAAAGTACGAGTCAACATTTGAAAGCCAAACCATTAGTCCCGATTCCGGTTTTTGACCTTGTCCTCCCAACTTCAAGTGCCCAGCTTGGTCAAAGTCTCGTGACCTGATCTGCGCTGCATCTGATCTGGCCAGGTCTAACCTGTCTGATCCGATCTGACGACGATATACGCTTGTGGTAATCGCTAACACGAGCCTCAACGCGCCCTGATCGCTGCTAAGGTCCTGGACTTACTTCAACCTTGCTTATTCTGTTGAGCATCGTCTGTTCTTCTCGGGCGGCGCTGCCCGCCTTGGTCGAACCACTGCCAGTAATATCCATATTTCGAAAGCCATTCTTGTCCATGTCACGCCAGTCTAGTCAAGACATTCTAAAGCTTAAGCCCATTCTCTTGCTTCACCTTCAACCAACTCAACCAACTCAACCCTTCACTTTCGCTCTTACATATTCGCATATGGGACAATAACCGACTCAAATCTCACCATCCGTCCTCATGATTTGGTACTTCCTGTACCCACTCCGAGGGTCAGTCTTATTTGCCCGACTCATACCGTCCCTATCCCCGTCCCCGTCCTTCCGTCCCGCTCTCCGCTCCGCTCCCCGCCCCGTCGTCCATCTTAACTCACATCCCATCGCAGAACAACGGAAGCTCCGGTCCTAGCACCTACTCATCCTGTCCGTCGTGCTCTATATCGATATGGATCATATGCTGCCAGCCATGTTGTCACGACTCTCCTTGTCTCGGTAGTCGTGGCTACCATACTAATCTATCCCATCCCCTACCTATTCACAAGTGACTACGTCAATGGCGCATCCAACCTACCACACCATGTTTGGACTGTCGCTCAGCCGCTGCCTTACGGCGCGACCATCTGCCCCGATGTCATGATGCGCTCTATCTGGGTTCACGGTAGTTACATGCAGGCACTGAAGCAAGATTTACTCGTTTCTGCTTTGGAGTTGCAGAATGAACTGCTTGGAAGCACCGAGAACTTCAGTCCCATCCGGGCCCGAAATGTTGCTCGTTCTTTACCTGAACCTGGTACCGATCTTTCAACAAATCAACGAGATGCTTTCCATGCCATCAATGGTTTGAACAATCAGTCCTGGTTCTTTCACTCACCACTTCAGTACTGGGATTGCATCGAGGAGAATATCCTGGCCGATCCTGCTATTCTGACAACCGTCAACGACAAAAAGACTCAGTCCACCTCGGTCAATGTCACCCTTAGACATTCCATCGTTTTCAGTGGGAAAAGGTTCGAAGAAAGACGTATCGTCGCTGCCGATGCTCTTGTTATCACATTGATCTACCTACGGGACTCGCCCGTGGGCAAACAATGGGAGAGAAAAGCCGCCTTCCTTCCAGACAAGGTGTCCAGCAAATGGGACATCTACCCACCCGATGGCCGATCTACCATGAGCCAACTCTACGAATTTCAATTTCGTCCTATATCAAGCCAAGATACGGCCATTCTAGCTGTCGCATATGGGTTGACCGCCATCTATTTCCTCATGAGTTTGTCTAAATTGCGGGCTTTCAAGTCCAAGTTTGGTCTCATCATCACTGTTATATCCCATATCGCTTTCTCCGTCATGTCCAGCTTCACCGTTTGCGCCATCTTCAGACTGGATTTGTCACGGATTCCCAGAGCAGCTTATCCATTAGTCGTCCTCTCCATGAGTCTTGAGAACATTTTTAGACTCATCAACGCCGTTATCATTGCTCCCGCCGAAGACTCGACAAGCAATCGTATTGGTCAGGCTTTTGGAGAGACTGCTCATACAGCCATCACTAGCTCACTGCAAAATGTCTTTCTTCTGTTGCTGCTCTCTCGCTGGGTATCCCCCGGTGTTTCGGCTTTCTGCATGTTTGTAGCCGTTGCGATTGGCTTTGACCTTTTTTACCTCTCAACCTTCTTCTTGTCCGTCCTCAGCGTTGACGTCCGACGTACGGAGCTCAGTGATGCGCTTGCAAAAGCTTCAATACGCCATTACCGTGGAGAATCCGATTTTAAACCACGAGGAACATGGGAGCTCGTTCTCCAAGGCAAAGCGACTCTGTCAACACGAATAGCAGGCACTGTTATCATGCTTGGCTTTATATTCATCGCCCAGTGGCACTTCTTTGAAGCTGCCGCGATTGTCAACTTTTTAAAGCACTTATATCAGGGTCATGGTGCGTTGGAGAATAGCAGCTCGCCACAAACCTCACTGGACTCAATTCACCAAGCGAGAAGCCCAAAATCCTGGCTGAGACTACAAGATCACGAGACAGCTCAGGAGATTATCAGCATCATCAAACCTACAGCCCATAGCTACGTTGCGAGGGTCTATGAGCCCGTTGTATTCGTCATGAAGGGTTCGGATCGTATGCCTCACTACAAGGAACCAACTCTACTCCCAGCACTTTACGACTTTATTAACCACCAACTCACCCGATTCGTCGTCATTATTCTGGTAGTCATTGCCGGTCTTCGACTATTGACAACCTTTCTTTTGTGGGAAGACGAAGCTAACGACGATGATCGACACTCGGATACTGATCCTACATTGGACGTCAAGTCTTTCCATGGAGGTCATGCCCTTGATATAACGATGCTGACAGCTACGTCTGATGGTCGAATTGTCTCAGTTGGCCTGGACCGTGCAATCCGGGTCTGGAACGCCAAATCTGCCAGTCTGCACTACACAATCGCCAAAGGCGAGGAGTCCGAGGATGCCTCGTTTCCGGTTCTAGCCATGACCATCGATGACAACTCAAAGTGGTTGGCCATATTGTCTCGCTACAAGATAGCCTTGTGGAATCTCAAAGAGAATGTCTGGGGGCCTTCGCTGTCTGTTAACCTCGAGGGTCAGAAAACAGAAGCCTTCTTCTTTGGCTCTTCCGATCTAAAACGCGACATTCCTAGGCTGATACTAGTGCGTCGCAATGGAACATTGACCGAATACATACCAGACGCGGGAGAAGGAGCCGACTATGGCATATGTCGAAGCCCACTGACCTGCGTGCGGCCCTTGATAGAGAAGCGTAAGGATAACCTACGATTGAATCTTGACCGCAATACTGATCCCATGACTTTAATAGGAAGCAACCAGGCGTCTCCATTACTTGCCATCATTACCGCATCTCGACGAGGCTGTGTTCATGCAGCAACCAAGGAAACACTATCTTGGAACTCTCGAAGTGTTGAACTGGAAGGAACTGAACATGACGAAGTTCATCAAGTGGTTCCTCTCGCTTCATTGGGTCTCTTCCTGATCGCTGGGACCATCCGAGTTCATCTTGTCAACATGGAAGATTACAGTCTCGTACATACATTTTTGACCGAGCGGATGGCGCCGCGTTCCTTGCAGAGTGCATTCTTTAGTCGCTCGTCGTCACGGCTAGGAATCGATGGGCTCGCCTGGTTCACCTTGTGTTATACTAGCGCAGAGACAGGGGATTGTGTAGTGCAAACATTTGCCCCTCTCGATGATCATGACATGATTTATTACCAAAATTCCGCGACACCATCCAGTAGCGGATGGTGTGCCTGGGAATCTGCCAAGGAGACGAAGAAGCATGTACAGAACCCCGGCTCATGGAGTATTTTGTCTGATGGCAGTGTTGTGGGCATACGACAAAAGTCAAATAGGGCTCTCGACGCCCAGACTAACGGGCGACGGAAAACAGAAGGTCTTCGGCACCGATCACCACGCAAAGAATCAGGACGAGACCTTTTTGGACGCTGGGAGATCTGGAGCGCTCCGCAGAGTGGCTTCTTGAGAATGGATGAGACACGGCCACTATTCCAAGCCGATGAAAGGGCAGGACATTTGATCGTGACAGAACTCGGCCCTGTGGTTCGAGTGGGCCAGCGATCAATCGCCTTCAGTTTTGGTAACGTGGTGAAACTGGTTACCGTCGGCGGGCACGAACGTTTCGACAACAGTGCGACAGATAACGATTCCGAGCACTTGAACGTTGGAAGTAGGCGCCGAAAGCCAGGGGCATTAGTGCGACCCAGGGCTTGGAGCTAATTTACTGGACGAGGAAACGTCATTGTCTGGGAATGTTTGGCGTTTGGCTCGATGCAATGATATAGGTTCTGGATGCATCTTGACGGATTTTGGGTAGAGGCGCAAACCGGTGTCTTTTTTTTGTATACCTATATCAGGGGTTCTCGACTGGGGGCACATTTAAAGGGAGTGAATGGCATCGGTATAGAAACAGGCCGGCGTACACAGCATATATGGTTGGAAATCGATTCATTTATTCAATATGTGCATCCATACAATACGTGCTTAGGAAGGTGCAGAAGGAGTACTTTAGTCCGGACATGCTACGGTTTCATATTCTTCCACAGGAGCATCAAGACGTGGCATACTCGTTTCAAATCAGCTTCCGATTTGAATACAGGCCATAAGACGAAAATGACAATACGTAATGATCCCAAGGGCTCTGGTGGGCCAAAGATGGAGAGTGACCCAGGAATCTGGAAGAACCAACCAAGAAGCTCACCGCTGGTCCGACGCATCTGCCTTGGTCAAGCTGGTCGGGGCGGGGCGGAAAGAGAGAGGCAAAGGAGTGTCGTGAAGTAGGATACCACCAAAACTGAAGAGGCTGGGGCTTCAGGTGAGCATAGTATGGGGCACATTGCGTGTAAGTCAAGTCTCAATATTCAGGGCTGAACGAAGACACGCTAGGATGAGGTACGAATGTGTAGAACTATTGGATTTTGTGGAAGCTACGTGTTCAAGAGGGCGGTCGCATGAACAGAGGCCACCCACGATGTTGGACAGATGATGATTGAGTGGAAGATACGAGGTTGAGGGTTGAGGGAGAGATAATCCAGGAGGCTGGGGAGTACAGGGTAAACGACGACGGGGGGTCGGTCTGCGGATCAGACACTATCGCAAACTAGGACCTTGAACTGGAGCAATCAGATGATGGCCAATGTTGAATTTAGTGTCAACAATGAATGGATGCGTTTTCAGTTTTTACAAAGTGCGCAGTCAGAAATCTGGCTGTGTTGCATGTTGGGCAATGGCCACGAGAGTTTATGCGCTGCATTGAAGCCTGACACAAAAGTTGTGTAGACAATAGTAAAGCAAGTTATAAGAGGGTCGCATTACCTCATAGTTGCAAGCTGTCAAAGTAAAAAGCTTGTCGATAATATGCATGAAATCATTCTAGGCGGCTTCGACGAGTGATGGGACGCTGACAGTTGAATCTGCGGGTCTGGTCTCAGGAAAGTCTCCATCCAGATGTCTCTGGCTTGAAGGACTGAGTAAAGTGTCTGTCTCACTATTGAACTTATACGTGTGCAGCATGCTCCTTGGATCGGGCTGACTGTTGATGCCCGTTAGGCATTACAAGTTCAACTGTAGGGACGTTGTGAATTGTAGTCAAGTTTATTAACAAATTTCAACGTTCGCTTTGGATACTGCTATAACTTGTCAGTGATACTAAATGAAGCGCATGTTGCGCAAGCAGGTATAGGTAACGAGAACTCGCAATGCAAAGATCTGATTAGGAAATATCCCAGGTATGGAAATATCAAGTTGAAAAGACAAAAGAAAGAAAGAAAGGTGTTTAATAAAACTTCTTATGCGTTGCCCGAAATGTCTTTCAGCTTCCATGAGAAAGAGCCCAACTCATTTCCACCTGACATTGTCATGCTTGCTTGATATTTCTTTTTCCCTTTGACCTTCTTTTCTTCTTCCTCACCCTTTAGATTACCCAACCTCCTCGAAATCCCTGCCCCGCCGCCTCTTTGCACCTTTTCCCATTTCGATTATTCTATTGATTTATTGGTTGGGTCTGTGTTATTTTTTTTTCATCTTTTTAGATTTACCCACGATCAAGGTCAAGCTTCCCGGAACGTGCTCGCGTTGTGCCGCGTCGATTAACCCTCGCGAGGCGCGTGTTTCTTATTCTTCTTTTTTTTATGTGGTCTCACCTTGAGACTTGAATTCATGAATCTTTAGTCGTGCTACCACGGACTGGACTCGACTTGTGCTTATATCCTAATTTGATATTAAGCAAATATCATTTCGGCGGCTTCCATCTTGAAAGACAAAAATAGCACTGCGATATTTTGGGGTTAATCGACTTGGCGCAAGTGAGTTCTGTTTACCCCTGCAACGCAACAAACCGTCACAATCGAGTCAATTGGGTCAGTCGCCAAGCACTGACTACATTATTAAATAAGTAAATAAAAACAGTCGACCATCTACGCTGCAAATACCCGTCAGTCATCTCTCATCACCATCTTCAAACAAGGTCACCCGATCAGACTAGATCCCCTACCCCGGTCAGCTCCAGGTGTCTGATTTGGGTTCAGGGTCCCCTGGTCTAGCTTGGTAGGCCATCTCACAGACCTGCTCTTGAAGAGAACCCTAGCCGATAGCCCACTGACCGTCTTGTTAGACCTCTCCGCTCACCGCCTGCCCTTGTCATTCGCTGAACCTGGAGGTGCATCAATCCGGTCCCATATTCGACAGCGCGCGCGACTGGCCGGCCGTATAACAACTTTCAGACGAGCCTGCCATCCTGTCGTTTCTCCGTCATGCTCTTCGGTGTCGCCAGCATTGCGTCTGTTTCCTGCTGCTAGTCTTTCGTTTACTATTGAGCGTTCTGCCTGTAGTCTTGCGGTCCTGGGCACTAAAATCGCAATTTCGCGTTTCTTCACCTGCGTCTTATTCGCCGTCATTGCACGCTGAAGCAGTTGATCACCACTGGCTTCTTGGTCGTTCTTGCGCATGCGCCTTCGTTTGTTGCTCGCTTCTGAACTCGAAATAAGTCAATTGGTTGCAAACAGTTTCCTTGGTCGGTGCTGTACCTTTCAACCGTCATTCGTCACTCGTTCCTGTCCCAGCGCCGTCCTTCTGGATCTTCCAAATCTCATCTCATCGTTACCATCCGAATCGGCCATCACCAACACGCATCGGATCCAATCACAGCCTGCCAGCTGTCGCGCGCGCATTCACTTTGACTCGCCGGCCCCGTAGAGTCGCACCTTTTCAGACCAAGCGATAGGCCCTCGCCTTACGGTTCCTGGTTTACTCTGGCTGCCTCTCATCATTCTGCATTGTGCGAGCTGCTGCAACAATTTGCGCTTGCAGCTGTGGAGCTCAGTAACGGTTAGTTCAACCAACCTCCTTCTACTTGCCTCCATAATCTCTTACCTCCCTGCTTCTCCTTCGTCGCATGTCTTGCTTTGGCCTATGACGCCTGTCACCCGTGCTCACATTCATATGCGAGTCCATTTCCTTCCCCTTCCATGGCCCCTCTGTTGCCCTAGTCGGTAAACCACATCGAAACTAAAGCAAAGTCCCTAGCCTCACTCGTGGATCATACTGCGTCTCGCTCATCTGAATCTCAGCCCTACCTTGAAAGTAGCAGTCAGGCTGCATGGCGTCCTCTGAGGTTGATCAAAAGTTTCTCGGCAAGCTGGCCAAAGCTGTCGAGAATGACAATCCTCTCTTGGCCAATATGCTCTTTAAGATTCTAGGCTTGTCTCTGAATCTTGCCGAACAACTTGTTGCTGCAAAGAAGCAACGCCGACCTGATTATGAGCCAACACCCAACGCGATACGGCGTGTACTACGAATCATATGGCTCTCCCGAGAAGGCAAGATCATGCTTGAGCAATATGTCTTGCCAATGGTTGGCAACTATGTCGAACTCAAGGTCCTTGCTTACAAGCTCCGTGCTTCTTTCTCTCATATCTTTGCTCTCTTTGGCAACCTGCCCTCAGTCTCTCACCTTGGCAGACAGACGCCGGATGTAACGGCTGCATTGGCATCGCGCATGGACAAGGGAAAGGGACGCGCCGCTGACATGGAAGCTGACTCAAGACCTTCCTCCGTTCAACCAACTCACCCCCTGGAAGGAGGCCCTGTGCTACCTCCCCCAGGCTTCGAGAACATTCCGCTATCGCCAAACTTCCTCATTCCGGCCAAAGACTATTTGCCCGAGGCCAAGCAGCACTTTCAAGAAGCCATGCAGCTAGCTGATTCGATGCTATGGGGATCACATTCTCTTCGCTTGTCAGTCAAAACCGAATATGCTGCATTCCTGTATGAATGCGCACACGATGCTGAGGGCAGTCGAAAAGTCGCCAAAGATACCATCGCCGAGGTATATGAAGCTACGGAGGGGATGGACGACGACATGTTTGGTGATGCTTGCGAGCTGGTCACTGTCCTGGGCAAGATGATGAAGCGTGGCCTCGGTACCAGTGGCACCACGCGCAAAGGCCCAGTTATGAACCAGCACTCGGTACCTCGAGCTGTACCTCCTCCTGGGATGGAGAACCCAATATGATGAGGCTCAACGATTTCTGCATGGAACTTAATTGTCATCTGCGAAAGCGGTAATACCGATGGCAACGCTAAGAAGTTGTGGGCGCTTGGAGTTTGATTTTGAACGACCTTGGCGACGTTGCCCACTCACATAATAAGCAGAAACAGGCTGTTTTTCCCGAATCGCAAAATACACTAAGAAGGGTCTGGGCACACTCATACCTTTCGGCCCGTTCCGTACCGTGCCGCGTTACATCCCATTCCTTGTGGGATCTTAGATATCGAGAAGAACATAGCATATTTGGCCTGGCTTACTCCAACACAAGCTACATTGTCGACAGGGCATCGGCGCCATCTATCAGTGAATCTACTCAAGAACGGAGAAGGATATCGCCTGGCGCCTAATGCTTAAGTTTTCCCCAGATTGGTCGGTCAGCTCGAATCTTGGTCAGATCCGTCGCATCTCGGCCAAAACTGGCTGAGGGCATATTTCGTCATTTCACTTCTGCCCTGTTATTTGATACCCCATTGTTGTTCTTGGATTCTTGTCTGCATATGCACCGGGCTCTTTATTCCGCCTTTTATCATCTGCTTTTACATAAAGAACACTGACTTTTACGGTTGTGCTCGTCTAATTTGCATTCGACTGACGGTTGGGAAAAATAGAAGGGAGTTTGATGTTAAGAAACCTGTTGCACTTACCGGGTCGCGCCTAATAGATGTATCAGTATCACTCAGGTAGCATGGTGCTATTTTCTTAACAATTATACAGGATGATTTCCCTGTTCATTGATTTCTATCTGCCCGTTTCGCAATATTCTATGGTCGAGTGACTACCTCTCGGATTTGATCCCTGTCTAAATTATCAAAACGAAATTCAGCCATGCTCTATCCATCCCGCGTCTTGTTTACTTCCCCAAAATGTCAGGAAGAAAGAAAAGAAGAAAGCAAGAAGAAAGAAAAACAAGCGAAGACACATGTCAAATGTCTTCCTTGACTAAACCCAGTTAGCTGTCTCGTATCGAGACTCGGAAACAAGTTGAGTCTTACCCCCTCTGATTCGGTCAAAGAAAATCCATGTAACAAAACCTTTCCGTGGCATGATTTGCTCAACCTCTTGTGTGATTTGATCACTCTCGGCTAAACTGACCATCCATCCAGTTTTCCACTTTCTCGATGCGTCTCTGGAGCTTCCGGGCCTCGGAGCGCGCTTCCTTCTCGGCCTCTGCACGCTCGCATCTGTCTCGAATTGCCTCGAGTGGCACCATCCGACCAGTGACATTATAAAAATTAGCTTGCATCTCAAGCCAACGAGATCGCTTGTACTTGCTATCAATGGTTGAAAGCAGGGCGCAGTCACGTTCGTTCAGATATGCATCTGGCTGAGGGTGAATGTCCGCGGGGTACATCTCCTGATAGATCTCGTCATGGAGATACTTCATCTGTTCACGTTTCTCCGGATCGACATATTCGAGGCGTGAGGATACTTCGGATAAGCCGTCAGAGGCTTCCTGGCCTGACTCCATGGGAGATTCATCGTTGTCCTGGGCCTTCGCTTTAGCGCGGGCCTTTGCCCACTTGTTCTCGATGGCTACCTTGTGGTTGCGAGTACCTCGGTGCCACTTGTTGTTGACAATGGTCTTGGTGTGAGTTTTGCCCTTTGAGTTTGGGACGGAGTTGGAGTGTTTTTCGGTGTCTTTGACTTGCTCATCAGCGTCGTCGGTGTCTTCGTTCTCGCCCTCATCCTCGCTAGACTCCTCGGACTCTTCATCACGGTCACTGGTCTTGGCTCCGGAGGTGGTTTCGTCACCGCTGGCTACCTCGGCGGCAGCACGAACGGATTCGGTAGAAGCATCGCCAGTTTCAGGCTCAGTGGTAGCTTCACCAGTCTCGGGCTCAGTAGTAGCTTCGCCGGTCTCGGGCTCAGATGCGGCCTTTGAAGCGATGGTCTGGCTCTGAAGGATCTTCCAGCGAGCTCGAACATCATTCTTCGATTTGCAAAGAGAATCTGTGATAAATTTCCAAGACTCACCCGCCTCCTTCATAGCTCGGAGGCGATAGTCTTCAGAAATAGACCAGTTAGGGTCTTCAATAGAAGGTTTGGTGTACTTGACCGCAGTCTCGAGGTCGGTAGAGGCGACGTCAGTGGTTTCATCTTCAGCTGACTTGGCATCCTCTGCATTTTCGGAGGATTCAACGTCGCTGGACGTTACGATCTTGACGCGGCGGTCTTTAGTCTTGGTCTTGCCTTTGCAACAGGCCTTGGTGCACTTCAGGCTACGGTTTTTGTTGCATGTGTTCTCGAAAGAAGACACGCTGGACTCGTATCCAGAAGAGGCATCGCCAGCCGACGAGGTAGAGGTGCCGTTGGCGGGCGCGGGAGCTTTGGCAGGCACTTGGGCCAAGCCAGAGGTAGTAGAGTTGTGACCCATGATGACTTTGTGGATGGACCGGTGGAAACTTTCTGGGGAGAGGGGAGTAACCATGACAAGAGCACGAGGCCGCGACGGAGTGGTTACTCGAGGGCGACGATGGTTCTGTCGATACTACAACAACGCGTTAATCTTTGATTCTCAGTCAGCCTTGATGAGGTTCTGACCTACACTTTGGGGGGATCGGTAAAGACTATCGAGTCAAAAACAAGATGCAAGATGCGAAAGCTCAAGAGTGATGGAGGCTACCACACTAGTCTGATGTGTGATATTAGACCAAAGAAGCCGAGAGGAAGAAGAAGAAAAGGAAGAAAGTAGGGAAGAGGGGATGCAGATGCGTTCTGTTACTGCTATGCAAGATGGTTCAAGGTTTGGTGTAGGAAACCTTGGAGGTTAAGGGGCAAGGAAACTGCACGAGGTGCTTGTAGGAGGAGGAAAAGGAAAGGAAAGCGGAGGAGGAGAGAGGTCAAATGTAAATAATCTTAGCGTTTGCTTAAAGATGCGGGCGAGTTCGAGTATTCACAGAGTTGCACCGATGGCGTGGAAACCGTGTATGTTGGCACCGCCAGTGCCAGTGCAGGTGACAGAAATCTTCGTCTACAGTCAGGAGGGCACGGTTTGTTTTAGTTGGGTTTGGGAGGAAGAGTTTAGAGGGAGTGAACAGTAGTATATATTGTACTATAACTCGACTGAAGCAGCGGACCTTTGTTGCTTAAATCAGTGCGTAGAAGAATCTAACATTGGCTATTTGATGCTTTTCGTGCATCAGGATGAACAATATCACTGTGATATAGAACAATATCTGAATACAATGTTCGTCCACAACTGTTCACTAGCACTCGGAACAATACTGACACTTAGACCAATAACAAAATCCGAGTGCAACAACCAAAAAGAATACATCTGATTACTATGTATTCATCTTCATGGTCGTTGTTATTGTCGTCTCTGTATCATGATATTTACAATCGCCCGCGGAGGTAGTCTATCCAGCTCCAACTGCGCTTCAGTTCAGACCCAATGGGACCATTGACAATACTGCTGACTCATCGCACAACCAATTCGAGACTTAGCATCGAACCATTGCTTTCATCGTCACTCTTTAATATATCACTGTTGACTCGCAGTTTTTCAGAGAAGATTATCTATCAACGTTTCGACTACTGGATAACTGGAAGTTACCGCATACGATACACAATGGCTGATGTTCTACCTACGCTCCCAGCGGAGTATGCCCGCGGCCTTGAGCTTATCGACGCTGCTCATGCCGAAGACTCCAGAACAGCTGAGGGTCCTGATGGAACGACAATTCCTTATGAGCTCAAGTACGCCCAGAAGATGACCAAATGGCTCGCCCGTCTATGCCCCGAAGCAAGTCCTGTTCTTCAACTCGCCTGCCGAGCACAGCACTTTCGAAGGTAACTATCTCCATTCCTACCCGTGGCCAGCTATTGACTTACGCAACTTGCAAAGGTGGGAGATTCCTCGGAGTAGCTACCCCATGACTCGCCCAGGCTATTTGACTTGGCGAGCAAAGCTCAAAGCCCAAGCCGCCTCTCAAGTTGCAGAGCTCCTAGCTTCTCCAGAGATTCAACCACCGATCCCTGAGGAGGCCCGGTCCCGTGTAGCTGCTTTGATTCGCAAGGAGAATCTCAAGGCAGACGAGGAGACCCAAGTTCTCGAGGACGCGGCATGTCTGGTCTTCCTTGATGACCAGTTCGACGACTTTGAGAGCAAATCAGACCTTGACGAAGCAAAGATGATAGGCATTCTTCAAAAGACATGGGGCAAGATGGGTGAAAAGGGGCGACAGTTGGCTCTCGAGATGAACCATAGCGACCGTGCCAAGGAGTTGATAGGAAAGGCACTTGCAGGTTGAGCGAGTATATACGTATCTAACATGGAACTATGCACCTATTTCCATCGACAATTGAATACCCGTCATTCGATCATGTATGGTGTGTAGCGTTTCGAAACATGAAGACTTTGCCAAGACGAACATGTGCTCAGGGGATCACAGAAAATTCAGATTCATGTCAAGATCCTGCACGAAGGAGATCGAGCAGGCGGTACATGACCCAACTGTGGTTCGCCAAAGCCATGTCACACACTCGACGATTTCGCAGGCTGAATCAACTTACTTTATTGCATCGTGTTAGCCAGGAAAACCCTTGCGTGACTACCTTGAGGTGAGGCAAGTCAAGACCAGATTGGTCGTCTCACAAGAGTCGACGAGGAAAGGGGGAACAACTAGAGATATCGTCATGCCAAGGGTGAAGAGCCTTGGTGGATTTACGCGCCCTGCGTCTTGGATAGGTAGGTGTTCACGCAACTTGTAGAGACATTGGGCGTGTCCGCGATTCTTCGGCCCCGGATCCGATGTCGATTTGAGACATTGTGATAGTGGCAGATCATCTCAATAGGGGCGTAGAAGATCTTGGTCAGAAACAGGCGTTTGTGACACAGAAAAGGGTCGCCGTTGTGGCGTTGGCTGCAACAGAGACCAATCTACCGTCATGTTTGCCAGCCACTATGAGAAACAGCATCCCTACAGCCACCCACCAACACAACACAAACCAGTCCAGCCTTACGCTAGACAAATTGGTTTCCGTTCTGTCATTATATTCCGCTGAGATCTCACATTGGTTCGTGTCACACTCGAGTGTCTTGGATTACCTCGACTTGTGCTGTTGGGTGGTAGCACATGAGATCGTGCGTGCTCCCGATCCAGCACGTCGTGGGATATCACAAACATGATGCTTCTGTCAGATCCCGACGCCCTGGAACCACAACCTTATTCCGCCTTTTTTTATTCTATTCTCTTCTTTGGCTCGCCAGTCAGCAAATGCGAGTCTCGGAAGGGATCTCGTCCGCGGTATGCTGCTCTTGGTGACAGTTGATTACTGATATTCGATATTCTGATCCATAGGTAATTGTTACAACGACATTGCAATGGTAGCGTGCTCACCTCAACCCAATGGACCGAGGCTAGAACGTACTCGTTTTCAAGGCGAGAAAACTTGTTTGGGTCTCAACTCTTGTCGGTATATGCCATATCTATATCGTTTCTTGTGGTCTCTTACGATCATAGCAATAGAGGCTTGTCATAGTGTAGTTGACAGTCGTTTGCCTCTACTATCGAGGCGGTGCCATGCATAATAGTGGTTTGATACTGGCCATTGAAATCTTCTCAATTGTGCTGCATTTCTACTGCCGTCAATGAACTCCTTGGTCCTGCAGCCGCCACATATTCAACTGCTCAAATGACACCGTCAGGTCATCTTGGCACCATGCAAGGGAGAATGCCAACCCCTTTTTTCGGTAGTTTGACTAATTATATCCGACTCCCACACCCAATTAGGCATGTCGGCTAAAAGGTTGGCCAAAGAGCTACTCACAGTGCAGCTCTGATACCAACTGGTTGCATTGGAACGCTGCCCTGCCTGCCACTTTTCAGCTGGTATTGTGCTCAGGCAAACAAGGCACGGGTGGATTAAACAATCGTATCGAGAGCTGCTGTGAAGATCCGGTGGATCACAAGTACGTGGCCTAGATGGTGTAAGTACATGATTTGATAGGATATTGACCCAACACAAGGGATACATCGTAGCGTCGACTATGTACTTGTGACTAGCATGGTTTATACACTGTCCTGGGTTGTGACAAGGCTATCGTTGCTTTTGCGAACCAAGATCCGATGGAGCTGAAAAGCGCGTCAATGGGGAATTGGGGATGCTCTTTTGTCCAAATCCGAAGGGGTGGTAATTGGACTACCAGATGGCTGTAGATCCCATCTTCAATTTTCCGCACAGACATTGATGAACGTTATCACTAACCAATAATCTCGGGTAACTTATCGATTGCATCTTCTTTTCCCGGGCTCAAGCTGCTCTATGTTTGGGATATCTCCTTGTCGCGTGAACCGCCCAGAAACCAGGATCTTGTCAACTTGCATTTGATCAACGGGCAGGTGAATCGTGTTTTGAGTAGTTGAACCACAGTTGCAGCATGCTAAGATTGATTTGTCTTGCGGCTCTTAGGCCTAAGGCCTCTCAAATTCATGAATCAAGCTAACTACTATGTAATTCGTCAATGGCAACGGAGGTCTGAAACCTGACAATAAATCATGACTACTAGTATGGCTAGAGGAGCTGAACTGGGTCCACTGAGTGTTCCTCGCTGAGATCATGTGGGCCTGCCATTGTGTCTAACATCATGGCGATCCTGGAATTCGATGGCTGTGCAAGTTGCCAGCAAATTGTCTTTTCAGTTGGCTTGTTTTCAATTTCAATACCAGTCATGCCAAATAAGAACTTCCTTTGAAATATATGTGCCGTCATCTGTGGAATACGGATTTTTCAATAGAGTGATACCTGATTGTATGGTTGAATATTATATCGTTGTGCTACTGTGCTCTGTTGTCAGTGTTTGCTTCCATCACCTGTCTTGGGCAATTGTAAATTCCACGATCGCAAGGGCGAATAATGGGCATTTTTAGGCATAGGAAATGCAGAGTTCAATGCTATTGATTAAGAACGGCACAAGCTGGCTAAGCCACCAAACCCTTCCTGTTAGACCAACTGGTACATACTGAACGAGGTACAATGGAGTGGTGGGAGCTTGAGTTCCTAGAACATTGTTAATAGGTTTATAATAATCTAAAAGAATATTGAAAAATGACAATTGATCAACCGTGTTGTCGGATTCAGGAATGTACCCCCCCTGTTGCATCTCAGCTTGAGAGGGGAAGACCCATAACGAATATGTTTCTTTCCGAATATCCGTCGAATGTCTTAGAATTTAGTAGAGTTGCATCCAACCATGCTTGAGGAAGAGAACTGACTGCTGAGCCATGATAAAGGCTGGTCGTTACAGTATAGACATTACTCGGTTATGAGCCACGAGGCCAGCACAACCCTCCGTTGTTGTGGGCTATGTATTCAGTCTGTGTTGCTTCTTTAGCGCAGTTCATGGAGGCTGAACAAGACGGACTAATGGCCCGACTGGGCAACATTGATGTTCAAGCGCACCGAACGGCAACGCCGTCAAATCTGGCTAAGTCGAAGACAGAAAGGATTGACCTTTTTGATGACACGCAGTTGGCAGAAGACAGGTCTTTAAAGGGTGCGCTATCATGAGTGGGCGCCAGTCTCCCGAGCACGGGAGACGATCGACCGGGATGTGAGGACCTGGGACCTGGGTGAAGTCTGCGGCAGCCGAGACCAAAACATGCATACGATGCGGTGCTACTGCATGCATGACGAGTGCTTTGATGGGTTCTTGGAAAGCATGTACATGATGGAGCTATGTATGTAGGTGTGTCGCGTGTGACAGACAGGACGAGGCTGGCTCCTGGTGGGTGGTTTCTAATTGTAGACTGAATGAGATATGTGGCTTCACAAGCTCCCTTACAATGATGGCCAGAAGGGAATAAATGGTTGCACTTTGTGCTGTCAACTGTATGTTCTGAATTTCGGACTGTGGGTTGTGCCGCGATTTGGAAGAGATGAGGATGAGTCTGTAGGCTTGTATTATCGGTACATTTACATACCTATGCGGTAGATAGATACTAACTACAGCAGTGTCATAACTACTGTAGAGCTAAGGTACTCTAGTCCGTAGAACGGACGTGGGTCTGCCCCAGAGGAAGGGTATCGAATCGGTGGTTTTGATGGCGATGAGTTGGATTGTGTATATTGCACGGTACGGCACGGCACGGTTGCCACTCTCGAGTTGGCGAGACGAAGCGAGTTAAATGAGTGGATGACGGATATTTTGATTTCGCTCCATTGTCTAAATGTTGTTGTTGTTGTTGTTGTTGACGAAGGACGTAAGAAGCAGTTTTGTTTGTCAGTATACTAACTGTGCAGGGCATCTAGAGGAGTTGAGACAATGACAGGGGTACGCTCCAGGGTCCTCGCTTAGCACTATTACTTGTCGCCTTCAATTCTACACGCCCCGGGGAGTTGTGTTTCGGCTTGGCTGGGCGTAGACAAAATGGACAAGAAGAAAGAGGAAGAAGAGACGAACGGTATCCAATTTTTACCTGCACAGAAACATAACTTCGGGCGGATATGGATATTGAGGCAGGTACCTACAGTACCTCCTACCTCTCGAACAGGGTAGTGGAGGGGAGGCATGAGGCAGCTGGTACTAAGGTAGGGAAGGTACGGTACTACTGGGTACAGACTTTAAATTGAGTTCGGCGTGTTCATGGAAACACCTATAGAAGGAGCAACAAATCAAAGGTAACGCCTTCCTTTCTTCTTCACCTCACCTTGCATCACCTCAACTCAACTCACCTCCTTCTACCCACTACCTAGAGTACCTGACAACTTGCATTTTCGCCTCAGCCTTGACCCATGACTTCCTTCCCCTTTATTGCTTCTTTCAGGCAAATCAGCACGCCCTAGACACCTTTCTTTCCTTACCTTCCTTCCCCCAATATATGATACCTGCTTAAACCCCAGCTCCTCCATAACTTCTTTACCTGACCTCTTTCAGTATATCGTACTTATAGTTTTATTGATATCAACACCAAACAAAACCCGACTGTCTGCTTATCGTCAGGGCCAGACTCCCATTCTTCCGATTCCGTTTCTTGCTTGCTCTACTTCCAGTATCTTACTCCAGCCTCTCGACCTTCAGACGTCTCGTTCCAGCGAGTCACAAAATTATACAAAACATAGCACCTATCGTTCGCAAGACAGTCGTTGATGCTCACATCGCTGTTGATTACCTAAAGGCTGTTCCCCCCGAGTCAGGATCCTCTCTATGCCTAGCTTGTTCTGACTATATATACTTTGGATCTACAACTACGTTTATCCTGACGTATTACACTACAGTGCTCATCTGTCTCGTCCTCCGGTACATCTACAGCCGTTTCACAGCTTGACTTATACCAAACTCTATCTACCACCCACTCAACTTCGAGCCGGTTGTTTGTCTCAACCAATCACTAGCCCTAGAACCGCAACCCATTGTTTTCTCTTCACCTACACTATAGTGTTAGCCCCATTGTATTCGCCCTGGTCCTATTGATTCCACAGTTGTACAAGCCTGGCCTAGAAGCTACCAGAGATAGTTCCAAAACTCGACGCTCGCTCCCCATCGACCCTCTCGTCACCGGCCGCGGCTGTTTCAACTCAACGGTCTGGTGCCAAGTGAGCTGAGGTACCCGCCATCCGACTTATCCTTTCCCTAGCCTGACTTCCAGTTCTCGTCAGGGCTGGAAACTGGGGCTTGACAACATACCATACCTACCTAGGTACATATGCCGGGCTGAGGTAGCCAGGTTATGAGAGTCACTCGTTGTCTTCTTTTAACGTATCTCTTTTGCAGCCACTTCTGATACAAGCTTGTTGAACGGCCTCGGTCTTGGGAATCTGCAGCACAACGAGTACATTGACTCAAACCACCTATCGAGTAACCGTCATGTCTTTTCAATTTCAAAGCGTACGTCTTTTCCCATCAACCCCGCTTGGTGATCTCCTGGCCTGAATCTGGCTTATCAACCCTGCCAAACTTGTTTAGCATTAGACTAATACATTAGTACAGCCATTTCAACAAGAACAGTTCGATATATTCGAATGGCATCCCAAGTTTCTGTCATGTCTTCGATATTTTATCGATCATGCTCAGTATAGCCCTGCAGTCCAAACTGTAGCTGCTTGTGTGAACATCCACCTCCCTTTTCAGAAAGGCAATTCATTACCCGTAACGCCCACACGCAATGGTCCTTCGCCTTCTTCGTCATCCTCCCGAGCATCTGGGTCTGGTCATCTTCACTTGAGTGCCCCTGTAGCTTCTTCAATCACACTAATTCCATACATTCGCCGTTTGATAGTCACCGGGTTTGATACGCCTGCTGTTCTTCACGGTTTCTTTGGCGACGACTGGATACAAGGTATTGGGCGCATACATGAAAGTGAACGCAGGAATTACTTATTTGCTGCAAAGAGCGATACCTGGCTGAGGGTCAAGACCCAGTATGACATGGATGACGGACAGACAGTCCCTTTCCTCAGACCACTGCAAAATGTCACTGACGACGAGATACAAGCTGCTGAATCAAATTGGAGCGAGTGGCTAGCTATGCAAGATTGGATGCTTGGCCCGAGAGCTCCGGACGACCCTAATGATCGCTTTGTGAGGATCAAGAAGGAACACGATTGATACAACAAACGACTTCGGAAGGAAATGGGTATATGTTGTGTTGATGAAAGATGGCAAGACTTTGACACATAAAGCAAGAGATTCGAATATGAGTTGGTGTAATAACATATGGACTGGATCTTGGAAATGGATGAACGAGATAAATAGTTGGATCTGGTAGGGAGGAAGCAGGGAACCAGCCCTTGCAATTGGACCTTCTTCAGCGTAGCGTTGCCTATTCACTTAGTAGTTTGGACACTTATACCAATCTTCCGACATCCACTGTCAGATTTTATTCCTTGCGCCAGTGTCGCCATCAAACCCCTAGCTATAGCCCGTGTCTATCCGTGTGTGAGGTTGTTTCAATATATACAGAGCATCTGTCAGGTATTCCTCGACCTGACCGATCTTGAGGCAGAAGAGACAAAAGGACGTATAGCGC